AGCTTCGCACCTCGTTCTCTGGGGACCACCACCACTTTAGTTTTTGTGCCGGGGCCGGTTTGCTGATCTAAGCGCTTTGTCAGCACCTTCACTCGTTCCTCCAATTCATCCATGGTGTAAGTTGGTGACGATCTCACACTCTGTGATTCACCTGCAGGTTTGCCAAGTTATATTACCAACCCCTTAATAGAAGCTTGAATCCTGTCTACGACGCATGTAACCGGATCAAGTTCTTCAAGCTGATTTTATTGCATGAAACAACAATAATCATACAAAACAAAAAAGGGGTTGGTATATTGGCTATAAGAAAAGGAAAGAAATAGAAACAATAATAAGTAAAATGAAAACTAAAACTAAACAAGTAATAATCTAACTCGTGATACAGTAACTCACTCTAATAAAGGAAAACATAAACTTGTGTAAAGATCAACTAAAAAAGAGAGCGAATACTTAATGAGGCTTATACTAACACATACCTGTGCTCTTTCTAGCAACTCAAAGAACACAGTCTCCAAAGAGAAAACTATTAAGTCTCAAAACATCAGTGTTCCACTGAATAAACCTGTGTGGCGATGTGCCAATGATTGTATATCAATTACTGGAACAAACTTAATCGAAACAAAGCAACTTCATCGCTAAAACATCAATATCGATACATGCAATGCTGTGCACTCTTACAGTCCATCGATAAATGGCAATTGATAAACTCACTTCCTAAATACCAGCATCACACTCAGCTAAATAGCCCTAAGGGGATTTTACTCCAGAAGACAGTAACATAATCTCTAAAGGGCCTCCCTGTTTCTAGCAGAGCCCAACCACCTGTGGTGTCTGATCAAACTAACTGATAAGCAGAGGCACTGCTTGCTGAACTATATACACAAAAGCATAGGCCTGTGGCCACATGGTCTAAACTACTGTAAAAGGTTCAGCCAAAACACCATGCAACTTCCAGCATTTCCAACTTAATAAAATCACAGAAATTAGTTAAAATACAATACACTAAAAATGGAAACTGTCTAAGGTACACTGGCATCATTCAATAATCACTTAAAGATTGGACTTTAACTGACTCAACCAAATCGGTCTCCTCCTTAGTCTCGAATTATTACTAGTAAATCTATGAATTTAATAATCCTAAAGCTACATATATGTAAATATTCATCATCATTAAAATGGTCAGTGAACAAAGTTTATCCACTGCAATGACCGTTGGTCGCAATCGGTTCAAGAAATAATCACAATCAATTTGGAACACAATTCTAAATGCCAGAATTATACTCAACAAACAAAACAACTTGATTTCCTTAAGTGTCCAGTCAAATTAATCAAAGGTGCAAGGTAGCTCCATCAGGCTAATAATAAACTATCAAGTACCTAATAAAAACAAGAAGACAGAGATAAAACTCACCAATAAGATGCTATGTACTGGAACAAAAGCTAAACAGGTTTGGTGTCTGGATCTGCAGTAGGTCTTCAAGGAACAGTGTTCAGTGGGAAAGTGAGTGGCAAAGTGATCCTATCTACACTGTGGTCTTGGGTGTAAGCCCTGGTCAGCTATGGGAATTGCCCTGGGGCATAAGCTGCCAGACCTCACTACATTCCATTGCGCAATTAAGACAAGGGGGGGGGGAGATATAGGTTGTGCCCTTCCAAGAGAAAAACTAAACTCAACAACCAGTCCACCAAAGGTGGCTGGTCACATTTGGTTGAAAATTAATATAGATTTCTGTTAACTTCAAAATGTGACATTACCATGGCGTTACTCTTTATACTAAATAAAATCAGGAAAACAACCATGACACAATTACAGTTGGACAGACATATTCTGTTCTTTTAAAAAAAAAAATTCTTCTGAATTTACAAATTTGTGCATGTAGGGGATGAGCAGATATCTTTCCAGTGCAGTGTATTAAAATCAAAGGCACCAATAATGAACACAGTCTGTACAGTGTACACGGTTAATGTGGTGAAAAAAGTAGCAGAAGTTGGGCTAAAAAAAATAAATAAACACATTTTTATATGAATTGTTTTCCTGAGAGGGATACTATAAATTTGGCAAGAAAGACACATGCATGAAAGACTTGTGATGGTTGCAACAATCCATGCCTATATTCAGTTTGTAAAACCATGCATAGAGCTTTGTTGAAAGGCAATGGTATTCAGACACGTTTGACAACTAGAATTGGAAGTTTGAAGGAAAGTACTGATCGTAATTTCCAAGAGTCATTCTATCAAGCTGTGACATACCTGTATATCATTTGCATGTTCATGTGTGTATGTATGGAACAAACTTTATGATAATCTTTTTAAAAGTAATGTCCATTGTAGTTTCCGGAACTGACATCTTGTAGATTAGGATGATGATTCCAACTGCTTGTTAAGGATGCATGCCGCTGCCTCCAATTTGCAGAGCCGGGGCAGAAGCAGTCAGACAGTCTTTGTCTTGTACATGCACATACTGCAGCTCATCTCGGTAGTTTTTGGTAGATCATATCCATGCATAGCGCAAAGGATCATGGAGACAGGTAGATGTAGAATTCTAGATGTATCATTTGAGGAAGTCTGCAGTGGGGAAAATGAATTGTTCATTTTGTAAATGATAATTTTTACAAAAAAGTGTGATGTTAATGAAATTAATGTCCACTAACAAACATGGCCATGATGACCTAAGAATCTTATTCCTCAATGCTGTTCTTATTCAGAATCTTATTCCTCAAACATGTCAAGTCAGCTGATTCTTATTTGTTGATTCGACCCTATTTATATCTATTGATGCACCCCTTAGTTTAGTCATGGAGGAATACTTTCTCCATGGTTTAGGGAGGGAGTTTGGGCAGAAGTAGTCCCACTAACTGGGGCGCTAGAAGTAGAACTCCTTTTTGACATTTGGGATGTTGGTCTGTCGTAGCTAAGTACGACAGACCAACATCCCAAATGTCAAAAAGGAGTTATAGCGACCCAGAACATGGGACGGGCAGAATTGACCCATATTAAACAAGCATGACAAGTTACATGTACTTTTGTAGTTCTTACAAATTGATGTTCTCTTGCAATTTTGCTGAGGAAGGAATCTGGTAATCACGAACTGTATTATACCGTCATGACTGAGACAACAACATTGACAGTTTGTTATAAAATATTGATATAATGTCACTATTCTATTCTGCAATAATTTAAGGTGGTTTTAAATCAAATCTTCTAACTCACCAGTCACCATCGTTTTCACCCAGACCCTTCACGTCTTCCGTAATTCTAGCAGAGTAGTACAGCACCGTGCAAATCATGATCATCCGGAGATGTAGGCAACATTACACCATGGAGGCACACAGTTAAATCTCCATCAAATGTGTTTGCAAGAACAGCAATTAATTCTTGAAAGTTTCCATAGGCATGCACTTTACTGCCAACATTCATGGTTTGAGCAATTTCATCTCAAACGTCTTGTACAAACAAGTACAATCATGACAATACATGTATTTTTTGTTTCCAGCAAACCCATTCCTCGATCCTTCCCACCATAGCTCCATGGTCCACTTTGGTCCAACTGACTGAATTCAAATCTGCTACACAGGCAGTTTCTGTTCTGGTACTGACTGGTATGCAAGGTCGTGTGTACATGTACATGCCGTGATGGAACTATATAAAACATGTTGGGTGAGACTGGTTACCAGCGGAAGGCAGTACAAGTGGTTGTAATCTGACCTTGCTTTTAGCAGGTGGTCACTTCTCATTCTGGGTGTGGGGCTGGCCAGAGGGGGGGGGGGGGGGGGTAATTGGATTAGTGTGTAGCCTTCTGTTTATTCTAACTCCTAGTTTATCTGGTGCTTCTGGGGTGAGCTGCATAAGGAGGGGTATCCTGACTTGATGATTTTATTGCTATATGAAGTATGATATGTAATGTGATGTATGCTCTTTTTGAAGGATTAATAACAATAAAAATGCAGATGGAACTTAAGTTTCTTCTTTCACATTCTAAAACTAAATAATTATTTCTGTATGTGCTTGAATAGTTCCTTCCTCCATGAATAGTTGTAGTTGTAAAAAGAAAAATTTCCTGCATACGCTATGTTATATAGCATGGTTCAAGCTATGCAAATCATGAGTAGTAACTCAAGATCGTGAATACATTACATGTAGCATGAATGATTAACAAACAACCTCATTTCCTGGCTGGAAATGTATTGATGTATAGCTTTTATTTATTTTTTAATATTAAATGATAATCTTGTACTTTTTCATAGAAATATACTTCTCTATAAAATGTATGCTTCTCTATAGAAATTATACTTCTCTATAGAAATTATCCTTGTATAGAAGTACTTCTCTATAGAAATTATACCTTTCTATAGAAATTTGGGGTCTATAGAACAAAATTGTTTTAGAAATCTATAGAATTCTATAGAGTAAACAATTTCTATAGACTCCCTCTATAGAAATTCTATAGAGAATTGGCGAGCCTGTAGAGTTCTATAGAACTGTATAAAACGTTCTAAAGAATTCTATAGAACATTTTTGTAAGGGAGAAAAGACAACAAAATGTTATTTTTATTTATTCAATCTTTTTTTTTTTTTTTTTGGAATTGCCGATAAAATTTTTAGGGTCGCAGCCTAAAAATAGGGTCGGTCGGGTAACCGGAAGCAGAACTATTCTTTTTTTTGGCCTAATATGAGTCATGTAAGCTTAGCAAAATACACATAAGCTTAGCGAAATGCGCGGAGTTTGTGTATGTTCAGTTTTTGATGCGCATGCTTGAACACTTGCAATATTGCCTTCCATAGTCCTTGTGAGTCATTTGTGCAGGTACATTGCCAACAGACAAACATTTTCTTGAATAAATACCGGTACCTACCTGTCCACTCTATGCCGGTAGGAATATGATACATGTTCTATGTACACATTCATGTACAATGCCAATCCAATAAACCAAAATCAAGTTTAAATAACTATTGATTTTTCATTTTAATTAGGTAATATTTGACAGATGACTATTCATTACCTGTGATGCGGCCGGTTGAGTAAAATTCTGAAAGTGGAGCATGCTCTGATAGCCGATCATGTGACATCCCAACCAAAGGTCACCTGATGTTGAATCCACATATATGTTATCAGGACTCGTACTAAGATCAATCACCTGATAACATCAAGAATAACATACATGTACATGTAGAGCAATTTGACATGTCAGGTACATGCATTACATGAGGTTGGTGGTTGCACTAGTGCAGCCTGGTCAAACTTCAACACATATTAACTCACTACCCTCCTAGGTATCACAACTAACTTCAAAATACATTTGTTGGGTGCTTATGTATTACCTTTTTGCTGATATTCCATTCCATATTCGAAAGAAAACATATTGAAAGTATATCACTCCATTCTCAAAACAAAAAGACCATTTTAACTCACACTTGAAGAATTTCTTTAGAGAAGTACTTATATTACCTGAATGGGTTGGAGTGCATGGTCTGCTTGCTGCTCATACACAGTCACTGTGCCAACTATTGGTGATGAAACATAAATGTACCTGATCCATGAAATGAAACAGACACAGAAACGGATTATATACTTTTATAATAAGCACCTACTAGGAGTGTCACCTAAAGGATTGATACACAAATCAATAAACCTCCTCAGCCAATTTTCTTTACATTTGCTATGACTGTTTAGCAAGATGAGAACAAAAATGAAATTTGAACATTTTGGATTGTTCAGTGTGACATGAAATATCCAAATCTCTCATCAGAGTGACAGATAAGAAAGAAAAGCCATTGACTGACCTGCCATCTGGAGATCTGTTGATGCCATTGGGTTCCAGACCTCTGGAAACAACAACTTGTCCACGCCCAGCATCCCCATCATAATAGATCACATTACCCCAAGGGAATTTCAGAAATCGCTCCAGGAATCGCTTGAACAGCTGATTATTATAGCCATCATTAGTGAAGTAAAATGAGTTGCTTCCTACAGCAACCACGTCATTGACACTATATTCAAAATAGTTTACATGAACATGATGTTAATAAGCCTGACATTTTAACATAAATACAAATGTATACTATTCAAAACAAGCTGAGGTGTCCCGCCACTGAACAAAACACTGGGTTTTAACAATCATTCACATTGTTTTCACTAATAATCATTAGTTGAATTTTGATCATTCATAAAAACACAGAAAATCATGTTTTCAAGCAAAAGTGTCCAATAGTTTAATGACATCACTTCTTTATCCAACCTCTCCGCACAACTCTGTATAGCTGTTAAAAGCCATAAAAAAAAAATATGCGCATTTGTCTTACTATTCATTTGATGTCTTACTAACAATTTTCAAAGCTGTGTTGAGTTTTAAAGTTTAAAGGACAAAAAAGACAATTGCAGCAGGAGGCAGACATGCAATACTTCAAGACAAACTGTTTGCATATGATTCGTGTTTTACCTTCTCATGAGTGGATCTGTAATGGAATACAGGTATTGAAGGGACTTGTTGTCCTGGTTCAAGCTCAATACCTCTATTGCCTCACGGTGCTGCTTGTGATTCACTACAAAGACAGTGGCTGCCAACAGACACAGCAGATAGCACAGTTTACTAGTGACCTACATTAACATGATTAAGGCAATATCATTTACCTAAGTTTGGAAAGTGTTGAGATGTTCTTAAGGCCAAACAAAAAAAAGTCTTCGGTTTCTGGTATGTGCGCGCATCGCCATGCACATCGGCAAAATGAAAAAAAAACTGCCAAACTCACTGGTTTGACTGGAATCCTGCTGCTGCACAATTTTAACGTGTTTTTAGATGGGGAACCCCATCTAAAAACACGTTAAAATTGTGCAGCAGCACAATTTTAACGTGTTTTTAGATGGGGTTAAACCCCATCTAAAAACACGTGGTTGAAACGTATGGAAGTAAACTCATTCCAAAAACTTGAGTAGAAGCCGATAATTGACTTTCCATCCTTGTCAATCTTCACATTTAAATGACACATTCATTCCAGTCATTACTGCAAAATTGCACTACATCAAACCAACATTCATTAGATGGAGCAGTGGTGCAGGTGGGGTTCATTACATCCAAACAACAATATAGGTGGAGCTAAATCGTTAGGTGGGGTTCATTACATCCAAACAACAATATAGGTGGAGCTAAATCGTTAAAAAAGAGGAGCTACCGGTAGCCCAACAAGTATAATGGAACTAGAAAAGGAGCTAGTTTTGTATTCCCCAGAGGTGGAGTTTAGTTGCATACCAAGGACAATTTGTTTTTTTGTTTTTTTTGGAACTACATGTAGCTCCAGAGATAACCCCCATCTGAATATACCCCTATGCTATGGGTATGATTAAACACATACAAAACCTATTGCAGTCCTGATGATTTGAAAATCACAGGCGTTTGGAAAAAGGCACACCTCAGTGGATTTTTCTAGGTGTGTGTTTTTTCTAGGTGTGTGATTTTCTAGGTGTGTGATCTGTGGTCCAGGGAAATTCAGGTGTGCAATTATTCACACTTCTCGGGAAGCTTTTAGGTGTGCGATGGTGTGGGGGTGTGACCGCACGCCTCAAATCAGAAGGACTGTCTTGATGTTCCCTTGTTATTTAACCATGTAGGCAAAGAGGGGCTCAAAATGCCCCAAAAGTGTACATGCACCTATGCACCTATGTCAGCAGAACAAAATAGACGTGAAAAGAAAACCTAATGGTGATATTGAGTTTGGTTTCAGACAGCTTGAAAATAATTTCCCACTGTACAAAAATAAAAATGATGGGAACATTAAATAAAGAGCACTGATGCAGGCATGATTTGTAAAAATTGGCACTGTGAAATGGACAGGTTGTGTTGTCATGGTTGTTTATGTTGATTGTCTGAACTCTCTCATTATACAAAACAAAGTGAGATATGAGTGTCTTACTTTGAGTTTCTTCCTCCCATACACTAATGCCATGTGGTCTGAAGTCAGAGTGATCAAAGCTGCCCAGTATTGGCAACTCAGTCACATTGGCATTGGGTTGCTTGAAATCAAATAGATAGATACGTCCTTTCCATGTCAGACCAGATGGATCCATCAGGTGGCCAAGGGGTGTCAGATCTATACCCTACATCAAAATGCAGAAAATACTTCAGAAATGAAATAGGGCACTAAGAAATTAAACTACATGTAAATAAGGGTGTGAGTGTCCCATCATTTTCGTATAATCAAAGGCATTGATGGATGGATACCAGAACCTGACCTTTTATTGGTCTCTGCATAAAAGACGATTAGGTACCGGGTACATCATGTACACACTTTGTGTCTGTGGGCCCATGGTAAAACTCATCTCCCATATGCATTTCCAGGGTACATTCTTTGAAAATGTCAGGGATTATTAACAGAACAATAAACAATAAACCAACAAAATCCATTTGATGCTATTTTTTCCTACCCCCAGAGCAGTGTTTAGGGGACATTTACTTTCAGCTGAAATGCAGATGATGCTGTTGCTTCACCCATATATTTCCATCTATTACTACCACACAAAGGAATCAGAGTTGGTTTACGTCTCATACCTCACCACTATGGAATGTGTTTGCACACTGTATCCAAACATGGTACAAATAGACACAGCAAGTAATGTATCTGCTATGATTTCATCATCAAAATTGTCTCCAAATATAGTTGCTGGTGTTTATTTTTTTTTTGGGGGGGGGGGTGTTAGACTGGTCCTAAGGCCTTTCATTCTGATTAAATAAAAAATAAATATAATTGTAATGCTTATATAGCGCTTTCCATCAGTCAACAATCTCTAAGCGCTTTACAATTATTTCCCCATTCATCAGGCCATGAGACCACGTGGCAGCCGATATCAGTGGCAATATAGACCCCTCACATAGACAGCCATCTTCATAGGCAAATTACAACTGCGTATTCAATGCCATCTGGTATGTTTGTGCGCAGTGTGCAAAATGTTCTAAACATGTACGCATGTATGGTCGATAATCTTTGAAATATAACACAGCCAATGCCGTCACGCAAATTTGACTCCCAAAATGCCGATGCATGTAACAATCTGTAGGTAGTGATGTCACTTGAGATATCTATACTAGTAACAATAATTTTGACTCTCCAGGCAGACTACTGAGGAATGGGTTTTGTCTTATCTGCAGCTCTTTTTAATTGAATCTGGTGAGCAAACTATAAGTGCAAAGGTCAGACCCTACATTATGGGCAATTCCATGAGAATGTGGACATCACTGGAAAATGGAACATTTAACTTCCAAACTGCAAGCAACACAACCTCAAGTGTGGTATCAAATTAAAGGAGACAACAAGACCCTTCAGTTGAAGGATGTGCCAGTGAGATGGAATATGGTCAAGTGTATTTTTTTCTCAAAAACTGGCGTTTTGCCTAAAATTATGGATTTTAGGTACCGGTACTCATTATTGCAACCTTGATTTTACATGCAAAACACAAGTGTTATTGTGAGTTTTTGCTTTTAAGGAAAAGAAAAAGGTTCACATTTTATGTGAAGAGTTTTTAATTTCATTAGTTTCTTACATGTTGAAACTTGTACCAAAGATGGGCAGAGTTACCAGAACGTGAGTAACCGAAATATATCTCTCTAGATATATTATGATTGATTACTTTTGAATAATTGTAAAGGTAGATATATGACTAATACCCGAATGATGTAAAGACACTGCTAAGAATTTTCCATCACTGCACAGTAAGAGGAAATCTCTTCAAATGTAAAGTATTTTTAAAAAAAATCCACATGCTTTTTGTGTAAAAGTGGGTTACCGATAAAAAATTATTGCCATACCAACACAAGTTTATTATGTTGACCTTTTTTTATGTTTAACCAATTAATTTCAAGGGATCTTCTGTAAGAAAAATCAACCAAGTTGACTGTAAAACAGCATTCCTTGAAATAATCTTTTTGATACCATCATCTATTGTGTGTCGAATAATGAAGTTGAAAAAATTGATCATCTTCAAATTTCTCCACAATACTTCTGGTCTGATGAAATCATCATTGAGATTTCCATCAAAATAAGGCCAAAAAAAAAATACTTCTGCTTCCGGTTCCCCTACCTACCCTATTCTGACAGCCCCTTCCCTAATTTGTTTTATGGGAAAAATGAGGGAAAAACCCCGAAAAACCATCCATTTCTATGTTTACCCTTGACAACACGTAGACGCCTCCATATTATCGTGCACAAAAAAATTGCAAAAAAAAAAAAAAAAATTCTTATCTACCTACCCTATATTCAAATGTCATGTAATCGGAAGTTAGTGTCTAAAGATGCTGGATTTAGTAAAATAAATCTCACGTGTCAGAGTTCGACTTTAGCGGTAGCCCGCTGGCTAAATGCTTGTCAAAACAGTGGCGGGCTAGTCAAACTATTCCTTTAGTAGCCCGGCTGGCGTGTCAAAATTCATTGGGCTACGGCAATGATGAAAGCACAGAAAGAAAGAAATCAATTAATTCAGAAAGCAAACCGGTATCAATATTTGTGTTTAATTTTATTAACTGTTTTGGGTTAAATTGTTAGATTCTTTTTTATTAAAAACACTGACAAGATTGCCTCAGGATACACGTTTTACATGTATGCACATTGTTGTTTATAAGACTCTAAAAGAAAAACATGCAGGCCAGTAAAAATGCCCGGGGCTAGTTAAGAGTCTGTTTCAGTAGCCCAGCTGGCTAGTGAAAAACAAAAGTTAAGGGTCGAACCCTGCATGTAGTTATACATTTTAAATAAAGAGTCCTTGATGTCTTCTTTTTTATTTAATCAACATACCTTTCTTTACATTTTTTCTTGTTAAGGTTGAGTATATTTGTTATTAATGTTACTTGTAATTAGTTGTAATAAAATGCTTCTCTTTCATAATCATTGGTCACTGCACTTCCAGTAACCCTACAAGAAAAAAAGGTCAATCAATGTTGTGCCCGGGGATCAAAACAAGGAATGCAAATGCAAGGAGAATTGGATGTCATTGAAATTTCGCAATGAAAATATTGTAGTGAGCAGGCAAAAGTTTGTTCAACTGTTTCCGGATGGCCAGTTCTACTAGCTGGCCTATGCCAGTTCACAGGGCATATATTTATTGCCATGTCATATTTGAATTTAAGTATGAATCAGTATTTACCATATTTACTCAGAGTACAGGATAATATTTTTAATCATCATGATAAGCCTGCTCTTATTCAACAGACTCTCACAGATACCATTAGCTCTTTTGAGATATGATGCACACAATAGGAAGGTGCTTTTAGAGCAGGGAAACTATTTTGTATTGACCCCAATTTACCCCCTCAATAAACAGCCCCGATACATGCAACAAAATGAGGACTTTGACCATGTGGAAGAGGTGGACAATCAGAGATTACATACCGAGGTTATCAAAGCCAAGCCATTCCTCAATACATGAATATCTTCTGAGCCAGAATCTGTCAAAGATTAGAAGTATGACCAACTGAATTAATAGTCAGCAAACATAAGGCAAAACAAAAAAAAGTTCCGGTTTCTGGTATTCACGCGCGTCGCCATGCGCATCGGCAAAATTAAAAAGTGTTTTTTTTCCAATGCAAGCTGATGTCTCAAAACCGCCAAACACACTGTTTTGACTAGAATCCTGCTGCTGCACAATTTTAACATGTTTTTAGATGGGGTTACGATCGAGTATAAGCTTTGTGCAGCCTTTCTGGGCTCCCACATATTATGCACAGAATTGTCGAGCACCATTTGCAGACGGTGTTGTACAAACAAAAAAAAGGGGGGGGGGGGAAGCAAAAAAGCCGCGTTGCCACACCACTTTTGAGGGAAGGTCCATAACAGAAACCGAAGATTTTTTGGCCTAAAGAGGAGGGCATAATTTGGAGCGGTCAATCTCTTTAATCATGTTAAAAGTTCCCCAAATTCTACCCACTTTAAAAAGCGCCCTTGTATTGTATCTGCCACATATTATAATGTTATTATTTCTAAATGGCCAAATGAGGCATGGGTGACAATGACCTATGACACACACTATTTTTTTTAATTAAAGACACCTGGAGGCATTAAGAAATGTATGTTTGATTCCTTTCGCAATGTTATGGGTAAAGAATCTCCTTGGATGTCGCAGCACCAACTGTTTGGTCTAGAGTTCAGTGCATCAAATTTTTCCATCTCAGCTTAAGCTATCTTTATTTCTTTAAACTAATTACATGTATAAGGCCTAGAATGATCTGCTTCTTGGATATGCACATGTCTTCTCATTGATTATTATGACAACGGTAATTTTGCCTTGAAATCAAACTCAAGCATTTTGCATGCAATGAATACTGAATGTCATGCTGAATGCCTGCCAAACAGAGAAAATAATCCATATTGTAAGTTAAACATATCTTCTGCTCCTTTTACAGATGTTATTTGCATGGTTTCGTTTTCTAGGCCTCTAGTCTGGAACTTGAATGAGTTTTTAAGGGATTAAGACATTCTTACAGTTTGCCCTGTCATTTGTTTGACTGCCATTTGGCAATAATTATAATAATCACGAGAGTGCATTTATAAGGTACGCTTTATCTGTAAAACATAAACAGCACCGGTGAAGATGAAATGAGAAAACTCAATTTTGTGGTTGTGATGGGAAAGCCAACAATAAAAGATGTTAGGAGTCACTACTGAAAGAGTGTCATGATCTCGTCTGACACCATTTGGAAGTGTGCTCCATTGTTAAGGGGTAATGCTAGAAGGCTCTATCTTCACGATGATCACTATGTTTGCCTTGTGAGGATCCAAATTAAAAAATTGTTCAGCATCCAAGGGTGGATCCAGAACACAATTCCTTTTGGGGGGGGGGGGGAGGAACAAAAAATTTTGGTAAAAAAAAGTGGGTCTAAAAAATTACGGTGTGGGGTTTAAAAAATTGTTGGATTCTAGATGCTCTGAGGCAATTTCAGATCACTTTAACCATCTTTTTTTTAAAGAAAAGATGGTGATGTATGCAGTTCCTGTCTTTGAGACGTCACTTAAAAAGAAACCAAAATTGGTTTCTTTTTTTTGGGGGGGGGGGGGAGGTGTGCCATGGCCCCAGTTGGCCCCTTTCCTCCCCCTTGGATCCGGCCTGGTCAGCATCCATTTCTTGTTGTCCTGCAGGCAACTGACGAATGCATAAAGCATTATAAATGGGGGGGGGGGGGTTGCAACCACATTTGCAAAATGTAGGAGGCTGTGCTTGTAGGGTCAGATGCATCATCAATTAGGTAGCGTGTTTCACGACTCCACCCAGGTCATCAATTACAACTAATACATGTATCAGGATACATCCAGATACATGTATAAGGGATATCAGGATACAGACATCAATCCACTTGTGAATGCCACTCATCGTTGGCTCTTTATAGCACCCCATCTCGCGTAAACCTGCTCACAATTCAAACTTACCTGTATCTTTAATTTGATACCACATTTGAGGTTGTGATATCTGTAGTTCTGAAGATTTCAATTTTTGTAAATGTTCCACTTTTCAGCCATGACCACTTTTGCGTGGAATTGTCCGGATACAACCGAGGAGGGGGGGGGATTTAAATCGCTGATTTTTTAAAATTATTTTTGTTTAATCACTGATTTAAATCACTTTTTTGTAAAAAAAATTGGCAAAATAAACTGATATTAATCATTTAAATCAACTGATTCCACTTAATTATAAAGTGCCAGACGTTGTTAACACATTGAAACACCCCTTCATTAGCATCACTCAAAAAAATTAGATTGAGATTTTAAAGGTGAAGACCTGATTTGTTCTCCACCTTGTGTGAAAGACCATCAATCAAACACTAGTTACACAAGGATCAGTCCTGCCAGTTTTGAAATTAGAAGCATTTTTTATGAAATCAACATGCCCACAGAGAGCTGCATGTACTTATATTTTTGTGTACATAATTCCATGCACACGTACCATAAATCAATCAAGCCATACACCTTTAAAGTGTCTTCAGTATTAATGTACCCTTGAACCAATGATAGACTACATGTAGATGAAATCCAGTTTTTAAAGGGAATATACATCATTTGCTTTTGCTCTAATTTTCAGAAATGGATGGAATTGGGGGGTTGGAAATATAAAGCAAATATAGTTACACTGACTTTTTGGAGGTTTTGGGTTCGAAAATGCTATAAAAACCAAGAAAAACGATCATTTTCCTGTAGTCTGGTTCCCTGACTCCATATAAGAAGAAACAGAGCAGTTTACATACATTGGGGAATTGTAAGGTCATGGAACCAGTCTAGCTGGCTCGCACCCGTTCAAAGGTTTGTAATCGATTGCAAACAAGTGCAATGGTCAATTGGGGCCAGTATTTGAAAAAAAAGCCAGTTGTTTCCAACGCTGATCGGCCGATCAGCGTTGGAAATTGATACAAAAATACCACTTTTCTTGAAAATGACAGAATACCAGGTGCCATAATTTTACAGGATGCTTTAGACTGTCATTTATCAACATCCTATTAAGGTATTTCGCAAAAACTTGGTAGTTTTATTTTTCGATGTTTGCAAATGTTGTATATTCCCTTTAATCACTGATTTAATACATTTTTTTTCAAAAGCATTTATCAATTTAATGAGTTTTGTGGATGATGGGTATCATAGGCACAGGTGTGTAAACTCCTTAGTGATCTGTGTAAGGGTGCATGGGGAGATTAAGACACATTTTTAGAAATACAATATTTTGAAAGTAAAAAAAAGATTAAAAATAAAATTACAAAAAATCTAATTTCAATCAAACAACAGACTTCTACTTACCAATTCCTGTTACAACTCGGCATGATCCTGGTCTGTGGTTATACGCTCTCTTATGGAAACCCAGGCTATAACTATAGTTACAGGTGGTGTAAAAAATTATAGATGCAAAACATTGTGAACGTAAAGGCTGAACAGTTTGAGCATAGAACAATAATAGGAGTGAGTGCTTGCTACATACATATGTATGTACACATGTACTGGTACACATATGGGTCATTCTACAAGTTATGGGTCCCGTTAAGGAAATATTGTCTTTTTTTTTTGTTTAATCTAATTAAATAGGAAATGTATTCAAGTTAATGATACTTTATGTGTAACAAACTTGAATAAGTTGCACTGATAAAACCTACAATGTGTGTATCTTGATCCCATTTAGTTCCTGTTTTGGTTAAAAATAAGCCACAAATTCTCATATTTTTGGCTAAAAAGTGGGACAAAAAAGTAAAGTCTCAAAATATTAAAATTTTTGCCTCCTTAACAGGTAAACTATGCAATTTTTTTAGGTCAAAATGATGGATGTACTATAAACTCAATTCAACAAGAGATACAATTATTAAAGAAATAAATGTGTGAAGATGTGATATGGTGCTCTCCAATATTATGGTTTCACGCGTATCATTTGGTGACCCCATGTCCCTGTTATGTGTGAAACTAATTCTGCTGTGTGTAAAGTGTCTTCCATGGTCTCATTATTTTCTTTTCCTTGGTATTTCAAAAATTCTGTCCATTAAATAAATATAATTCAAAGAATTGTACTTACATTACTGACAAGATGTGCTGCAAAATAAGTGCAGCTGAGATGCCAATCAAGATGTTTCTAAACATTGTGAAGAAGCACTTCTGTTGTGAATTTAAGCTAAAAACAAAACACACACAATGTAAAATAATAAGATGCAAATGCAATTTACAAATGCTCCAGTGCAAATGCCACTCAAGATGTTGGGAATCACAATACTCTGTATTGCTGGTTGCTAAATGTTACTTGATGTAACAACATGAAATGACAAATGGAATGACACAGTGCTAGGATTTGGTGGTACATGTATTTAACATTAGCACACTTCTTTATAGGACAGTTTTCCAAGGATTTTTCTTGTCCTGTGCCAACAAAATGGGAAGAGCAGTTTTTGGTTCCTCCTGTAATGAATATACGCCACGTTGGGGTACATCAACAATACAGTTTTTGGTTCCTCCTGTAATGAATATACGCCACGTTGGGGTACATCAACAATATATATGTACATATTACATTGGCAGTGGATATTTTGCCGGAGACGGCAAACCTTTAGTAAACGTTAGATTGCTGGATATGCACTGAACATGCGCAGTTACTGTTTTTTTTTTTTTTACTTAAACATTTTCCGGTGACAAATTTTAGTCTATCTGGCTCCATACCAATATTATCGTTGTAACTTCATATTCACAAGATGGGAATCAGACCATTTTATAATTTCGGACTTTATTTCCCTTTAAAAAAAAATCCTCCAGAGCCAATATCTGAAAAAGAAAATGTAATACTCTGCAATAAAATGTTTGAGACATGTTAAAATAATAATAGAAGAATTTTTATTTATTTGGCGATGGGGAAAAAAAAAAACCTTAGACAATGTGGCGGGGATTGGGATCGAACCCGGGTCATCCCTCTCACGACAGCCATTGCATACTACACCAGATGTGCTACACAACTGTTGGTGGGAATTTAATACATTTTATAATTCAGCCCTATCTTAGAGAGTACAGCGCCCTCTGTTTGCCGCCGGCAAACCAAATAGGCCTAGGCCTAGTAAAACGTTAGCTTGCCAGCAAAATATCCACTATCTATACATTCAGGGAACTCGACAAAATGGCGAACTCATGAGCAAGTGTGACTGATGGGCCGCTGTGTGTGCATGGTAATCGACAGCGCAATGCATTTTGTTTGTGCACAAATCTACTCCGGGTTGAGTCCCAGTTGAAATAATTGGTGTGTTACGGGGGGAAAAATGGAACATTTTCCAATTCATTTTTGTGCCTGCAAATGCCTGCTAGTGCTATATAGTCGTGTTCCCTAACGTGGCGCACTTCAAAGCTTACCCGACTTTCCTCGTGTAGTGTTGCCAAACCTCTTTGTTGACAAACCTCAAATTCATGCAGTAAAATACTAGTACTTTTACCTTAGTAATGCTTGCTATTTAACCCTGTGAACAATTTCGGTTTCATAAAATTTAATCCGAAACTCAAAAACGGTGGCGTCCGGAAATTGGGCACAAATTGGCGGAGTGTTCCCTAACGTGGCGCACTTGAATAAATCTTGGCAAATTCCAAATTAACATTTAAGAATTTCTGTAAACTTGACAAATTCTGATAAATAATTATTATCTCTACTTACATACCCAGCCAGATGTTTGTCAGGAAATTATTTTCTTATTTTTCGGGGTATTTTCAAAGGGTTCACTTTGAAAAATTACGCCAAAATAATTTTTTCTTCTAACTTTGTTACGGGTAAATAAACTCGCGATTTATGAACAGGAGTGTTTAGAACTTGATGAAATTTCACTTTCTGTGAAATTTCAGTTAAAACTTTTGCTCTAGGTAGGCGCTACAGGAGAATAATTGAAGTGCGCCACATTGGGGGCTGGGCCACGTTAGGGTACATCAACATTATAGGGGCCTAGTCTAAGTCAGTCCAAGTTCCTCCAGCCCAAAGGCTATAGTATAATGACAACCCAATGATAAAATTTAGGGCTGGGTTAATTACTCCAGCTAGTGAGCTACGTGTACGTCCCGAATATGAAACTCTCTTCCTGGGGCCAATTTCATAGAGCTGCTTTAATTTTAAAAGCACAAAATTTGCTTAAGCACAAAAACGTCATGCTTAATAAAATCATGTTGCCGGCCAAAACTCAATGCAATTGTTATGCTAAGTAAACAACAGCTAAATACCAGTCACGTACATCACATGGAGTTTTAGCCGGTAACCTAATTTTGGAAAGATTTCCATATGATATACGAAGTTCACTCAACATGTACAAACCTAGACCCGTGAACGTGGCTATACAAACCCTATTCTATGAGTATGAGATTGGTACGAAAGCCCATTAGCGCCACTGCAAGTATATATGTTACAGATTGTGTAATTCGTTATTACGGATTATTAATTCGTTATAACGGATTATTAATTCGTTATAACGGATTATTTAATTCGTTATTACGGATTATTAATTCGTTATTACGGATTATTAATTCGTTATTACGGATTATTAATTCGTTATAACGGATTATTAATTCGTTATTACGGATTATTTAATTCGTTATTACGAATTACTAATTCGTTATAACGGATTATTTAATTCGTTATTACGGATTATTAATTCGTTATTACGGATTATTAATTCGTTATTACGGATTATTTAATTCGTTATTACGGATTATTTAATTCGTTATTACGGATTACTAATTCGTTATTACGGATTATTAATTCGTTATTACGAATTAGGTCTGATGTTCTCACACGTGGAGAGCACGTGACCAGGGGCCTGTGTATATAGCGCCGCTAGGCGGCGCTATCTTTGCATACAACGTTTGCACTCCTGTGCCATACTTGCCGAGTAATGACTCAGAACGTATGAGTAATTCGTAATAACGAATTAATAATCCGTAATAACGAATTAAATAATCCGTAATAACGAATTAATAATCCGTAATAACGAATTAAATAATCCGTTATAACGAATTAGTAATCCGTAATAACGAATTAAATAATCCGTAATAACGAATTAATAATCCGTAATAACGAATTAGTAATCCGTAATAACGAATTAATAATCCGTAATAACGAATTAAATAATCCGTTATAACGAATTAGTAATCCGTAATAACGAATTAAATAATCCGTAATAACGAATTAAATAATCCGTAATAACGAATTAATCATCCGTAATAAGGAATTAGTAATCCGTAATAACGAATTAATTATCCGTAATAACGAATTAATAATCCGTAATAACGAATTAAATAATCCGCAACATATATACTTGCAGTGGCGCTAATGGGCTTTCGTAGATTGGACTGAAAAATTGTAAGTGTTTTATAAGAAAATGCTTGTATTTTCTCACTGCTCAAATTGACTTTGATGACATGAAATTGCTATCTGGGGGCTTGTTAGTCAATACAGAGGAGAATTAGTGAACTTCTTATATGGAAATCTTTCCCCAGACTTTTTTGTGTTAAGCAAATTTCTGTGTTTAGCAGCGCCGTGAAATTGGGCCCACAGCTGCATGCACCTACCGGCGTGAACCTCCTCCTCGACCAAAGATGGTATAGCGCCCTGTATAGCGGCGCTAAAGAGCGCGCTACGCGCGCTCTAGGATCTTTCCTCGACGGCCGCTCACGTCACGGGATTGATTACTTGAGAATGATAAGCTGGATATCTGGAGGGCGCTGCACACATTTACACATCAATAGTAGTCATTGTTGGAATGTGAGTGCTACACGATGGAATTCAGCAAAATAGAAGATGAGAAATGTCCTGAAAAAGAAGACTCAGGCTTGGCTATCCAGGATGACCAGTTAACAATGAAGGAGATGCAGCTTCTTGCATTTGGAGGTTATGGAAATTTTAAAATGGTTCAGACAGAAAGACCGAAAGTTGCCAGTGGACAAGTAAGCAAATGATAAATTGCCTAGCCTATCCATATAGGCCTATGTATATAACGTTGTGAATTTGAACTTTGATTGAACACGTTGAAGTTGTGTCCTGTGACTGTGCGTTTTTACACCAGCAGGTTACGCCCCCAAAGAGTATGGTGACTGTATAGTGTAGTGTTTTCCTGCAGTGTTGAATCTTGACTGGTGATATGATATCCTTTAATTCAGCTAGCTAGGCCTACATGGATACAATGATGTACAGTCGTTTTCCTAATCCTAGTTTGGATCGCTTCAATTTAAAACCTACTCTTTTGATTTGGTCTCCAATACTATTTTTTTTTTTTTGTATAATGGATATATTGCCGGCGGTATATCCAGACAAGCTAACATTTACTAAAGGTTTGCCGGTGGCAATCCCTATTTCAACAGAGGGCGCTGTACTAGGGCTGAATTATAAGATGTAATCATATTACTAGTCCGAGTAACTTGGACCCAACTTATCGCCTTTTTTAACATTTTGGACATGGTCTGGCGATAATGGGTGCTAGACCATGTCCAAAATGTTAAAAAAGGCGATAAGTTGGGTCCAAGTTACTCGGACTATCATATTACCAACAGTTGTGTAGCACCTGTGGTCTAGTGGATAAGCAACAGATCTCATGAGCGGGAAGACCTGGCTAGATAGGCCTACCCGTTGGTGACATTTCTAAGTTTTTTTTTTCCCCATCCCCCAAAAATAAAAATATTCTTCTTTTATTATTCCAAGGCCCCCCCCCAAAAAAAATATTCGGTCTCTGGTCAGACCAAAGTTCCGGAATTGACGCGGCCACGCGGCTTTTTTTTTTTTTTTGCTTTTTTTTTTATTTTCTTCAAGCTTGGATTGTACAGACAAGGTGGGTACTATTTTGCTTTTTTGGTGTCCTCATTGTGTACATTGGTGTCCTCCATAATTTGCCTTGGTGCTTTCGATCATTTGCCTTGGTGCAATTTCCCATTCCTTGGTGCTCTTTGATAAAAAAAAATTGAGGAGGTGCGGAAATAGAGGGCGCTGGTGGAGCTACCGCGGAATATTTTGGAAAAAAAAAGATCGACGCGCATGATTAAAATCGACGCGCGCGCTGACCAGAGACCGATTTTTTTTTTTTGGCCTAACATGTCTCAAACATTTTATTGCAGAGTAGGCCTATTACATTTTCTTTTTCAGATCTGTGGCTCTGGAGGATATATTTTTAAGGGAAATAAAGTCCGAAAAATTTTGTAAAATGGTCTGATTCCCATCTTGTGAATACAAAGTTACAACACGATGTAGTAGTCATACCATGCATACCATGTAGTCATACCATGTACATGTAGATAATGAAGAGAATGATAAGAACTCAAATTGTGAAAAGCTATATCATTGCTGGTTCTCACTTGATATGACTTTTCCTCCCCACAAGTTTGTACCCTTATCTGTTTCAAATCTGTGCAAAACTCGCTTGTTGACAAGTCTAGTACATGTACATGTAGTGCCACTGGGTTCCTTGTCTACATGCTCCATGAGTTGGCCCTCCCTGATAAGTTGCTTCACTGTGCTAGCTCATCTGATGATGGTGGTGGTGGTGTAGAGAAATGGTGCCTATGCGCCATCAGCTGTGCATGGGTATACGTCTGCTTGAAAATGTATCGATACTGGTATAATTTTGGAGTGGTGCTGGGTGGAATCAGTCAGGAATCGGGAAAAAGAATCGATACTAGCAAAGGAAAGCTACAAATGACAGTTTTGTTTGGGGCCAAGGATTTGATTGAGAGTCATTTGAGAGGCCTGGTGATTTTTTTAAGGGATTGTTGTTCGGTATTGTATTTACGGCTTTTGAGAAGGAAATGAGTGACATCGTCTGAACATGTATGCACACAATTCACATAAACCATTGGGATGTTTGCCAGTTTTGTGGAGGAAGGGCTCCTACACCAACACAGCTCATGACATCGAGTGTAGAAAAGCTCAAGCTTGGTCTGCTCTGTTCTCACTGACCAAAGTATGGAGATCCTTGATCTCCAAGACCACCAAACTTAAGATCTTCAAGACCTCAGTAGAATCCATCCTCCTCTACGGTTGCGAGTCCTGGACCCTGACCAAACAGATCTCTGCGTCCATTGATGGCACCTATACACGGATGTTGCGGGCTGTTCAGAACGTTTCTTGGCAACAACATCTCCCTAACTCTGTTCTGTATGGTGCCCTTCCCCCTATCTCCACCACCATCAGACAGCGGCGCCTTCGGCTAGCCGGTCACGTTTATCGACATAATGAGCCAGCTAGTCAAGTTCTCCTCTGGAATCCCGAAAAGGTCGTCCCAACATGACCCTGAAAACATCTATCGAGCTAGAAACTGGTCTGAGTGGTCCATCTCTTTCCAACACTATGCTTGACAGGGACAGTTGGGCCCAACTCATCAAGTCATCATGAAAATGAATGAATGAAGAAGAAGAAGAGAAGTGGAGGAAAGACTTCATGCCTTTGCACGTACTAAGGCGTAGTCTGTGATGATGATTTTTTGGGAACGTTGTACATGTACGCCCCAGTTGTTTTTGTGATCCAGATCAGGGATTTTGATAGCCCATACGACCCTTCAACTGTGCTTTGAGAGTGTGTTATAACTACTGTGTTAAGCAGAGGGATGTAATTTAATACAATGTAGTCTACATTGTCCTTGCGAGTAGCAGATTTAGCAATTTGATCAGCTCTTTCATTTCCAGGGATATTGAAATGGCCAGGGATCCATTCAAAATTGACTACATGTATGTTACCTTGGTTATGGATATTGATGAAAGTGTGTTGAATGTCGCAAACTATTTTATGTTCAGGGAAAGGTGAGCAAATGGCTTGAAGGGCACTGAGACAATCACTGAAGATACATCCCTTCAATCACTTCAATCACTTCAATCCACTCCAGGGAGAGGAGGATGGCCAAGAGTTCTGAAGTGAAGATAGATACTCCGTTATATGCTTTAGAGTAATTCAATTGTGGTATGTAGAGTCCACAGCCTACCGAATTGTGGGCCGGGTAATAACTGATCCATCTGTGTAGATGTGTAAACAATAATTCCATTTGGTATTGATAATTTCCAGACTAATATTTTGTTTGTTGTACACTATGCTATCAGTACATGTATTTCTGTGGAGATGTTAGGATTAATATAATGCCAATATGGGAAAGGATCATTTAGGGGGAAAATGGTCAGAGGATATTATTACACTGTACATGTAGCTGAGGTCCTTGCTTCTAACTAATCTTAAGAATTTGGCAGCTGAAGTAGTCTGGATCGCTTTGTTTTAAATCCGTAGAGAAATGGGGGGAGAAAATTTGTTTGCGAAGAGGACTGCAATTGTTTTGGGGGCAGATACATCAACATGTAGTTTGAAACCCCATTTTCCGCATCGGTTTTTGATGTTATCAAGGTTTTGTTGAATTTTCTTTTGTAAGTAGGGTATACATGGATTTCGATTGGATTTCCAGATGGCGATATCGTCTGCCTATTGGGGAACTTTGATGCCATTAGCAAGGTCTTTTACAGCTATGTTGAATAAGAGGGGACTGATAACACTTCCTTGGGGTACGCCGTGGTTCTTTCTTTGGAGAAGATGTTATTAACACGGACTTGTATTTTCTTATTGCTGAGAAAGTTGTTAATCCATTTTGTGATTCTTCCAGTAATGCCCAAGGATTGTAGTTTAATATCTTTCCACCATAACATGTCATATGCCTTTTCTATATCAAGAAAGGCGGCTAAGGTGCTTTCTTTGTTGGAGCGTGCTTTGTTGATGGATGATTCTAGGTGAAGTATTAGATCTTTGGTGCTTCTTCCTTTCCTGAAGCCACTCTGGGATTTCGAGAGAAACTTGTGATTTTCCATGTACCGAAGGAGACGAGAGTTGACCATTCGTATGATTTTGCACAGGGTGGAGGTTAATGCGATGGGTCTGTATGATTGGGGGTTAGCTGAGTCTTTTCCGGGTTTGAGGAGAGGAACGAGGATAACATTTTTCCACTGTTTAGGACATTCTGATGTTTGCCAGATAAGGTTGAAGATAAAGAGTAGATAATGATGAATTTTAATGGGAAGGTGTTTGGAGGAGTGGATAGCGTGATTTTATTCCTGTATTGAAAGGTTCATTGAAAACACTGTCGTTATAATTGTGGATGACAAGTTCTTTTTCGGCTTTGTCTTTCTTAGGAATAAATGCGGAGTGGTAGTTATTATTGCTGCTGACTTTTGTGAAAGTATCAGCAAGCACTTCTCTTTTTTCCTCGTCAGAGTAGCATTCGCATTGTTGTTTTGACGTCTTTCTTAGGGATAAATGCGGAGTGGTAGATATTATTACTGCTGACTTTGGCGAAAGTATCAGCAAGTACTTTTCTTTTTTCCTCGTCAGAGTAGCATTCGCATTGTTGTTTTGACGTCTTTCTTAGGGATAAATGCGGAGTGGTAGATATTATTACTGCTGACTTTGGCGAAAGTATCAGCAAGTACTTTTCTTTTTTCCTCGTCAGAGTAGCATTCGCATTGTTGTTTTGATGTCTTTCTTAGGGATAAATGCGGAGTGGTAGATATTATTACTGCTGACTTTGGCGAAAGTATCAGCAAGTACTTTTCTTTTTTCCTCGTCAGAGTAGCATTCGCATTGTTGTTTTGACGTCTTTCTTAGGGATAAATGCGGAGTGGTAGATATTATTACTGCTGACTTTGGCGAAAGTATCAGCAAGTACTTTTCTTTTTTCCTCGTCAGAGTAGCATTCGCATTGTTGTTTTGACGTCTTTTTTAGGGATAAATGCGGAGTGGTAGATATTATTACTGCTGACTTTGGCGAAAGTATCAGCAAGTACTTTTCTTTTTTCCTCGTCAGAGTAGCATTCACATTGTTGTTTTGATGTCTTTCTTAGGGATAAATGCGGAGTGGTAGATATTATTACTGCTGACTTTGGCGAAAGTATCAGCAAGTACTTTTCTTTTTTCCTCGTCAGAGTAGCATTCGCATTGTTGTTTTGATGTCTTTCTTAGGTCAGCGACGAGGGCAGGTGCTTTTTTGTCTTTCTATGTTGTCATGATCATGTCATTAAAGGGAATATACATCATATGCTTTTGCTGTAATTTTCAGAAATGGATGGAATCGGGGGGTTGGAAATATATAGCAAATATAGTTACACTGACTTTTTTGAGGTTTTGAGTTCGAAAATGCTATAAAAACCAAGAAAAGCAATCATTTTCCTGTAGTCTGGTTCCCTGACTCCATTTAAGAAGAAACAGATCAGTTTACATACATCGGGGAATTGTAAGGTCAGGGAACCAGTCTAGCTGGCTTGTACCCGTTCATAGGTGTGTAATCGATTGCAAACAAGTGCGATGGTCAACTGGGGCCAGTATTTGAAAAAAAGCCAGTTTTTTCCAACGCTGGTCGGCCGATGAGCGTTGGAAATTGATACAAAAATACCACTTTCTTGAAAATGACAGTATACCAGGTGCCATGATTTTACAGGATGCTTTACACTGTCATTCACTAACAGTCCAGCAAGGTATTTCAAAATGATTTGGTAGTTTTATTTTTTGATGTTTGCAAATGTTGTATTTTCCCTTTAAGTACAAACCATCAACAACCTTTGTGTTTTTAAAATATATATATACATGTAACAGTAGCTGTGTCATTTGTTTTGTGACAGGTACTGGTGAAAGTGGTTGCATGTGGAATCAATTTTGCTGATGTCAGTGCTCGTCAGGGATTATACAATGGGCCTACTGGAGCACCATCCTGCCCTGCAGTATTAGGCATGGAAGGCTCTGGTGTCATCATTCAAGTTGGAGAAGGCGTCCAAGAACTAACAGTAAAAATTACATTATGAACTAAGAAGAAAAATGTAGTGTCTTCATGTATGAGACGTACAGTATTCACATAAAAAACTGCGGAGGACAATGCTTTGTGTTTCCCTTTGTCCCTTTAATATAACACTCTTCCATAGACCAAACACATGAACTTACTATAGAGGACCGTTTGGAACAAAAGACCCAACGCCCGAGGACTGAAAGGATCCTTTCTTCTCTCTCTGGTGTCTGTCCTCGGGGGTTATGTAGAACACGTACACATGTTCCTGACTTGTGGGGACTTGATCTCCCAGTCACTGGTTGTGCGATGAACATTCCAACGGACATACCACAGTCCCCTTAATTAATGCAGCCTAAATGTTTGTTGCAATAGAAAAAAATACTCATAAAACTTATTGCTGTTTCCGTCCCCCCTATTAAAGGTTGGCAATCGAGTGATGTTTATTACGATGTTTGGAGCTTGGCGGGAGTGTGTTGCTCTTCCTGCAAACCATTGTTTTAAGATATCTGACACGATGACATTCCAAGATGCTGCAGCCATTCCAGTCAACTACCTGACAGCATACTTGATGCTCTTTGAATTTGGCAATTTGAGGAAAGGCAAGAGTGTCTTGATTCACATGGCAGCAGGTAAAATCTCTGTAGAATTTCCATCAAAGCAAAGTAAGCCTGAACAATTTGACGTAGTATTAGCTTTAGTAGCAGTCAGTTCTTATCTATTGCCTATGTACATGTAGCATCCTACTGTAAGTGGGCTGTGCTAGAGACCGTATCAAAACGCGGCACAAACAAAGTGCATTTTTAAGTGCAACTTGATGGCAAAAAAGAACAAAAACATATTTTTTTCTGGGCTCGTTGATTCTCGGGTGGCGACTAAGGTCCAAGACCGAGACTTTGAGGCCTGAGACTGAGATCAAGAACAAGACTAGCAAAAAACAAGTCCATTGATGGTCGGGAGGTCGAGACCTCCATTACTGACATGTCATGCATGTAGGTGTAAGTAATAGATAGCAACCAATGAAATCGGAGAATCCTGCAGAGTATCTCTCTTACAGGTGTAAGGTCAGGTCTCATTTGTATGGGTGATATTTGTTATCAGGTGGTGTTGGGTGGGCTGCTGCTCAGTTGTGCCAGACTGTTCCAGATGTGACGGTGTTTGGCACTGCCTCTGCTCATAAGCATGACATCATTAAGAAGAATGGAGTCCACCATCCTATTGACTACCACACCAAGGACTATGTGCAGGAAGTGAAACAAATATCGCCGTCAGGTAAAACTAAATTTTGACTAGTATCTATATGTGCAGCTGTATATGAATCCAAGCACTGAGTTAAGTGTAATCTTTAACCCCTAACCCTGCCAGACACAGCACATTGCATCAGGTGGAAAAGTCTGGTGCACTTTGATGCATTCAGCTACCAACACCAGTGCATAAACGGCCAGGTCTGAAGCAATGAGGGCTAAGTCCCATTGAACAATGCCTGAGTTGTATCCTGCTGCGTGCGGTGACCACGGACTCTGAGGCAGTGTGGCCTTGAGACTTTTCCCCTGATGGATCCTCCTGCACTGGGCAGGCTTGTCACATAGTCAAGTGTTGCATGTTGCTGCGTTTGGCAGGGTTTCTAGCCAAAATACCCTGGAGGGTTAGGGTTAAATTAAGACACCTCAGATCAGACCTGTGCTAGACGCCATGCTACTGCCGGGCCAAACTCTATTAATTCAACTTTGTTAAATTTGGTTCGGTAATGGTGTTCAGAACCATTCAGGTTTGGCAATTGAGTTTGGCACAGCAACACCCTTAGGGCGACAGGGCTGCTCCACTATCATCATTCCACATATTCCATCGTCATTCCGCTATCTTCATTCCTCACGTCCGTATCACGGGGAGTGAAATTGGTGAGAATATTTTGATAGCGCTGAAAGTTTATTGAATTGCTTTGCTTTAACCGGGCCCATTACTCCAGATGCATTAATGTTCGATTACTACATTTGACGTTTAGAGCAACTACCGTGCTGTAGACATGCTATTGCCACACTCATTTCAATTCAGCTTGACGCGGCAGTAGCACAGCGTTTTGAACAGGCCTTAGCTTTTGCTGTAACAATGTAGCATACCGGTATATGCCCCTTTTTTCTTATAAAATGTGATTTTAACACTATTCCACACACTTCGCACTGGCTGTTCACTCTTTGTCTCGGTCTTGAATGAGGAGGAAAGGGAAATTTATTTCGGTGATTATAGTATAAGACTTGATTACACACAATTTAAGAAAGATAATTCGCTCACGTGCTATGTCCACACAAAAGGTAATTTGACTTTTATAAGATGGAATAAATTGACTTTATTAGTCTGCAGAAGAAAAACATTAATGCCGGCAGGGGGTCTGATCATTCAAGAGGTGATAACCAATAAGAAGCTACCAAGCTGCAAAGGTTATCATGTCAAAATATAAACTAGCGCTGTACAGCAAATGAGATATATGGCAATTAAAAAGTGGCAACTAGATTTGCCACCTTGGGTGGTACCAGTAGGTGAATTGTGGGGTCCAGGCCAATGGACTAATGATTGTACATGTAATTGCAATAACTATTTCTTGTTTTTATTTCTAGGTGTGGATATTGTGTTGGATCCTCTAGCCGGTGCAGACACTAAGAAAGGATATTCCCTGTTGCGACCATTGGGCAAAATTATCGTGTTTGGTAAGCAAGTGTTTTTATAGAGTAGATCTATTTTTTTCATCTGTACATACATAACAGTTTAATTTTATTTTATCCCGGCCTGTACGCATATGTTTATGACTGAAATCATAGTAATGCCAGAGATAATGACACTGTCGGCCGTTAAGAGCACATTGATGGATGTCACAAACCAAACGTGGGAGTGGAATCAATAGTTTACCCAATAATACAATTGTTCAAGTTTTAGAGCAAGATACATGTATATTCTTCATGCTTACTTTCATGAGCTCAATGTGACGTGGTAACCTGTGCAATAGTCATGCATTGGTGTGCACGACTTCCCTGTGACATTCCCATCCTGTGTATCCGTTATTCTAAAACAAAACTATTGGTGCGCACCTGATAGTAAATTGACTGGTTAGATATTTACCAGATACTTGTACTCTAGAGTCTCTTTCATAGAATTTTTTGCATACCCTTAATCTCAGTTTCACCAATGTTAAGAAGTCGTTCAACCTTTCCTTTGAGCAGTCCTGAATATGAGGACAGGCAGACTAACTGCAACTGGGGACTGATGCAAGTCTCTAAAAGCTGGCATCCACATATGGTCGAGAATAAGCTTTATGTGGCCTACCTGAATATGTTAAAAAGAATATTTTTAACAAAAAGAAAGCTTAACATGGCTTTTTAAAGCTTAACGTATCTTGTTTTCCCTTGAATGCAAATTGAACTGTGGTTAAACCTTTGTGTCCTGCAGGAGGAGCAAACATAATCAGAGGTGAGATGCGTAGCATGAAGGCATTGGTATCAACATGGTGGAACACTCCAAACTTCAAACCGTTTGACATGATGGTTCAAAACAAAGCAGTTTGTGGATTTCATCTTGGCTACCTAGAGAAAGAGGTGGATCTACTACACAATGCTGTACATGACATCATGAAAATGTACCAGGAAGGGCAAGTCAAACCACATGTGGACTCAGTATGGGAGATGAGTAAAGTAAGTCAGTACACGGTGGTCAAAAAAGTTTACACTTCTTCAGACCCAGATTTCTCAAAATTGGGGAGACATGTTGAAATTGTTCTAAGAAATTCCCAAACTACAAGATCTTGGTGGTATATGGTAAAAAGGGCATTGAAAATAAAGCCTAAATTAAGAAAATGGCAACCATTTTACAAAAGAACAGTCAAAAAAAAGTGTACACTTTTTTTAAGTCACTTTGTACATCTCTGGAATCAATGTTGTATGAGAGAATGAGTTAATAAGGACTGCATATTGGCTCAGTATGGAAGATGTGTAAAGTGTCTGTTACAGTACTCAGTGACTCATGGTGACTGTATGGCCTCAGTATGGGACATTTATAAGAAATCACTACTCGTGTGGAATTCTGTGTAAAGATCTGCAAATTTAAATTGATATTTTGTATGTAATTTTAGTACAGACATGCCAGAATTCTTGTAAATGTACAATATATATTTTCATACCAACATACTAAGCCATCTGGAGTCATGTCGTGCATACAGCACATCAAGTCATAAAAAGTGGCTGTTGGAGGGTTGGATGATTTAATGAGTTAGATCTGCTTACTTAAATTTCATTTTGGTTTTCTGAGTATCGCAACAAAAAAATATATTAAAAAAATGTGTGTGTTATTTGCGCAATTCTCAGTATAATTTCTGTATCTTTTATGAGCAGGTTGGAGCAGCAATGCAGCATATACAAGAACGCAAGAATGTTGGCAAAGTCATCCTTACATGGGATGATACCACAGCCAAGCGCTAGGCAGGTGTACAGAACACAGAATAAATGGATGCTTCCAATCATTCAAAGCCATCTAGGGTAGCAGGTGCAATCCCATCTACCATGCCTACCAAGGTATCTTCCTATATTGCTGAAAGATTTATGACAAACTTATTGGCCAACAATGATTTCAAACTTTGCTAATGTTGACAGAATGTTGACAAAATTATTTCTTTGTATAGTTTGTAATGTTACATGTGTACTGATGGTATCTTACGTAATGTTTTGAACGTGAAATATGTACCAAAGTACTCAGCGATGGATTACCAGAAATTTGTAGTTCTTACATCGGTCGGATGAGAAGCCTTTATTATGATATGATCATACCAGCTGATAACCATTAGCTGATCATGTCATCATTATGAGCTGAATCAGCTTATCATGCCATAATCATGAGCTGATCACGCCATAATCATGAGCTGATCATGCAATAATCATGAGCTGAATCAGCTGATCATGTCACAATCATGGTCTGATCATGACATCATGACGACCATCCTACATCTACCTGTATAATCATGAGGTTATCATGATTTTGATCCACACTTTATTGCAGGTTGTTTCCTTGTTAAGTTTGACTAATGTACATGTATCGGTATTTAATAGGTAAAGTTGTGATGGAATGTGTATAATCAGTACTTTTAAGATTTATGAATAGACTTTATCCTGCAATGTTACAATTTGATTTATATATTTTTGTAAATTGTGAAATTGTAAAAAGTTTCTTTGATAATAAGTAGCTGATATGTAAATTTATTTTTAAAAAAAATGTTAGGAGTGGAATAAGTTTGCATTGTGTATGATTGCAACATTGACAAATTGCATCAATAACGCAATAGTTTTTACTCTGGCAAAAAACCTTTTTAAGTGACTACTTTGCTGTAAATGGCTAAATACAGCGCAATATCCCAATTTAGGAATGATTGGGAAGGTAAAAGTGAATATGACAAAAGTTACCCCTTGATCTTTTCCACCCAAAGGAATTTATAAAAGTTGTTAACATAAACAAAAATCTTCAAAGGCCATAGGCCCTACTTGTCGTGGTTTACAATGTCATGTCATACTTTAAAATAAGTTGAAATCTTTAATAATGGATTCTCATTAGGGCAAATTAAAATGCCCTTTTTGTTACACCACAACCGACCTTCACTGGATACAACAGGTATTGAATAACTCATACCTAGCACAAGCAGGAGGGAGGGGGGCCACGTCAATGACTGTCATCTCAAGGTCCACCACTCAAACATCCCAATACACACATCTATGTGTGCTTTATTATGCTCACATGGATGCCAGTGCCTGTCAGCCATTCCTCAATCCATCGGCTTACTCCCTGTTACGCCATGTGCTTGCAGTTTGCGGATTAGATGCAGGTGGGGCACCTTGTCAAGAGCTTTCTGAAAAGCTTTCTGAAAGTCTGGATAGATGATGTAGACAATTCGTTCTGTACATTTTGTGCACAAGCTCAGATGAGTCGTTTATCCTTGTGTAGAATATGCGTGCTTACACTGAGGTTTAAAGTAACAAAGACAATCTTTTTAAGTTTGTCTATTTTTTTACTATTATAAGCCAGATACATTGTAATCAAATATATTTGAAGCTTCCCATGTAATTCATTGAAACACGACTTGAATCTATGACACACTGGAGTTAAGAAATGGTTGATGTTTTCAGCTGCAGAATCTATGCACTCATTACATAATATGCCCTCAGTGGCAAACATATTCTTGTTTCTATGACTTCCTTTGTGCACAATAGTTGTGAAATCCTGGCATTCTATCAACAAGATTCTGTCTACCATTAATAGACATTAATAGAAATTAAAAATGATCATTTTGCAGAATTTGAAGTACTTGTGCATGTGTCGTTTATTGGGTCATGGTTTGGAAATTACTTTAAAGATATGTTCGTGAAAGATGTTAACATAGTACACCTTGGATGCGCTGTTGGATTAAAACACCGTCTGGTCATTCATTTCTATGAGGTGACCACTTCTTTTAATGAAATATGTTTTTGTTTTTTCAAGCTTGTCGCTTTTTTTGGGGGGGGGGGGGGGCTGTTCAAAACCGACGATTATGCACACTAATGGACAATACGTGGTGCTTTTCGGGATGATACATGTGCAAAATTCAAAACAGGCACCCATAATGGCAGATGACAAAAAAGGGCACCATTTTTTTAAAGGGTTCTTGTTTAAATAGAGAGGTTTGGCAAATTTGAAAGATTGCACGTATCTGAATACGTATCCATATGACGTCGCACGTATACGCATGTTTAGGGAATGCAAAATTCACTTTTGGCATCGCGCAGCCACGTACATGTATTATTTAGGGCCTACCCATCTTGTAAATTCATTTTTGTTTGAATTTGTCCACATAAATGCAACCCATTTCCAAATGTTTGAAATAAGTGACTTTTACCTTTTTTTTGCTTCAGTGTATGGAGTACTGACATGAGCATTATGTGATGTAATACTAATTAACTCTCTGCACCCAAATCCTAAGTGGCTCATCAGTCAAATCAATTCCAATAGACTTCACACACTATCCAATCCAGACTCATTTATTTTGTCTTTCTCTTTTAAGTACGGGTGTTTCTCAACAACTATGTCCACAGAAAATGTTACTTCATCTCCAGAACTGATTTTTTGTTCATCAAGACTAAAACTACATTTCAAATCAACAGACCAAATAAGACTTATTGGTAAAACTTTGCTCCCAAATTGAACTTGAAATCAGAACATCAAGAGCGAATGTAATCATTAATGCCAAGAAAATATTTTACATTGGAAACATCAAAATTGGCAACCTGGTGAAGTAATTTTGAAGACATAAAATGAAACAGCTTTTTAAACTAACATTTAGCTTAATACAATCGATACATAAGCATTCTCAACCATCTTGGAAGATGGCAGTTTATATTCAGCAACACTTTTGGAGTTTGAAGTTGGAGTACTTTGCCCAAATACTGACATTCAATAGATACCTCTAATTCTTAGGCTTTTAATCACATCCAATATTCTCTTCGTTCAGTATTTGCATGGCACTTTCAAAAACAAAAGCCAGCTTATACTTAGCATGTATGGCCGCAAAAGTTTTACATCAAAAACTTGACACACTAGGAACACTAATGAAAACTTATTTTCTGAAGAAAAAACATCAAAGTCATATTTTCCAGTCCATCCAAAAGGGCAGAAATAAGGGGGCCGAAATGGAATAAATTAGGGTTACTTAAATTTTACTTTTATCAAAATTTATGCAAACCTAGATGTTAGGGTACTGTGACAAAGCTGACACATTCAACAATTGGACATGTCAGTTTCAGACAAACAGGCAAGACTTTTCTTTGTATTCCTAATCTCTGTATTCCTAATCTTTGTGCTTTCATAAACTTATTTTTCCCCCTTCCATCAAGGTCCAAGACACATAGTCTGATCCGAAATAGTTGGTTGGAAGGATTGTGAGTTACGATCAATCATGGAATGTTCATCATGTTATTCACTCTTTTCATATGGATCTTCAATCGTGAATTAGTAGCTCACTTCTGGATGTAGTTCCTAAAGACATAATGAATACATATACTTCAAAACAAAAAGATGTGCCATAATGTGGACATATGCTCTGATACATGTGCGTAGCTATGTGTGTATTAGCTAGCTATAAAGGGTAATTACTTCGCAATGTCACAAACACTTTTCCATTCCATATCATGTTGGAGACAAAGCTAGTTACGTCACTTCACTGCAAGTTAAGACCATCTTTAGATCCTCATTATCCTCTGCAACACCATCTTATTTGTTGGCCTTCACATAATTAAACAAAGCAAAGTTCAATCCGTGTTACTTGACTTCATTTACAATTGGTCCATTTGATATGTTGGTAATAAACATTTGTCCTCTTTGGTAAGAATCATCTATTAAAAACAAAACAAAAAGTGTCACACCATTCTTGCTATCTAGCCTCATCTACATTTGTAGCATCACAACAGTGTTTTGGCTTGTCATCTGTATCATGCTAGGACTTGTTAATTTAAAAATATCCTACAAAAGGAAACGTATTGACTCCAATAAACAAACATGAGGTATGTGTCAAGCAAGCCACTCAGGATATCAACAACAGGCCCTCCATCATTCTATTTGCCTTTCTTTCTAAACAGTCAATAACAAAAACAAAATAGCACTTTGCATTATAGTAATGCTAACAAACATGTTAAATCATGCACACAAAGTTACAAATCATTAAACACATCTGAGCTTACACATTACATTTTTTTAGATAAAAAACAAACCAAAAATGTATTTACATTGAATACAGCAAAGGCTGTGTTATTTGAATAAAATACATGTACAACATCTCAAGCCATCTAAACTTCAAAAAAATAAAAACAAACACGCTTTTAAACAAAACTGCAATATATGTGAACCTACACTTTGGACTTTTCTGTCCATATCTAATACACGTATAACAATGTGAACGACCATTGCCACAGATAGTCTAGGTCAAAGGTCATCTATGTTAACATTCACTTGCTATATACTGCATTAAATACATACAAAACTTATTTCAAATGTTGCATTGGTTAAGATCCTTACATATTCTTCAAAAGATCTCTTGATCAAACTAAAATGAAATTTAAAAAAATGCTAGCACACAAGACCATTACTTGCAGTACAAAGTACAGATCCCGGAGAATGTGACTGATGTTCACAGAAACATACCCAAAACAATATATCAATGTACATGTCCATGTATGTCTGATCCAGCAAATCATTGATATTATGGTCCAAGTAATTTTGCTGGCTTGTAATACCGGTAGTTACTTTATACTTTCAAAAGTAGTCCCCAATATGTAGAAACATACAATATAATAACATTAAAGTTGGTTTTTCACTTTCAACAAGTGCTTTATTAACTATACAGGGCGAGTCAAAGAAGTGACCTGGATTAACGATTTTTTTTCCTAAAAAGCAATCAAACTGGATACACAAATGAAGTTACGCATGTTTTACTCAAATAACCTATTTTTATAGCTGTCCGTGGAATGCCATTGGAAGCAATTGAGCCGAGTGTGATTACAGATTTCACACAGGCATTCAAATACGATTTTAATCATTTGAGTCAAGAATGAAACATTATTTTTGCTGTCAGACTTTGTGCTTTGAATATAAGGAACATGTGAACTCTTCTTTTTCTAAAATATTGATGGCGATTTTTGTCTGCTTTTCTGCAAGTGTTTGTTCATTCATGGATGCAGGAAAACTTGTATGTTTATTGTAATCGAGGGGTATGCATCAGTTCATAAAGCGGTAAATGATCAGTGGAGGCCAGCTGAATTGTGTGATCTTTTTATTAAATTAAACATAACTTGAGATTAGAGTATGCAAATTATGTGAAGATTCAAATACTAGTCAGGTCACATTCTTCTTGACTCACCCTGTAGACTGGTTTAGGAATTCCGCAGAGAGTCTGCAGCAGTCAAACAGCTGGACTTGCCCTTACATGCAGGGGTTCAGCACTCAGGAATTCTGACCTTGGGCCGATCCAGAAATCAGACTGGAGGGGGCTTAGAATATCACCATTAGCCAGAGTTTTATCCTGGTCATGGCCCACCAGAGTTTGGAATAGTAGAGGGAGGAGGGAGCATTTTAAATGTTAAAATTTGTTCGTACAACTCACAAATGTACACACTCGGGCCATTCACTGATCAGTTTTAATGCGGAGATTGGTTTATACCGGTACTTCACGCAAAAGTTTAATGAGAATTTAATGACATCAATAAATGTAGTTTCACCAATTGGCTTCATTCCAAAGATCTGTGCAAAGTAAATGTATGAAGTAATCTAGATGTTCAGTTCATTGCATGCAAGCCTAGGCAGCTAGAACTCAAGACGTAACCCTGCAATGGTTTACCAATGGATATCCCTACCTAGGGACACTTCATGTTTAGTACACTTCAGTCATATTAATAACAATTGATAAAGTTCCCTATTAGAAGCACACTTCTCATAAAACTCCTTACCCCTTAAAGCTCTTTTTGGTGGAAACCATTCAGCTTTATGCATATGTATGAAGTGAAATATTTGTAGGGAATTACACCATGACGTGTCCCTCAGCGTTCAGCAATTTTGACAGAGTTCTTCGCTCTGTGTGGGTCAAATCAGGAAGCATCTTGGGACCAGTAAGTTTGTACTACTTCCTCTCAAACTGTGTTTCCCCTTAGTTCATCATGTCATCAATGTTACATTTATCTTCACTTGCACAATGATGAATTCCATGATTTGAGCGGTAGCTATTCTCCACATGCAGCATTCTGTGTTTGTGTGGCAGCAACTGTAGCTTGTAGGGCTTTAGTAAATTCCCCAGGTGGGTAGTTGGGTAGAGGGCAGAATGCTGAGCTATCGCTGGGTTTGAGCTTGAAAGATACTTTCTTGTCTGGACAATACTCAAGATCACCCTCAATGAACAGTGGAATTCGACTGCAAAGGGAACAAAGTACATCCATTTAATCCGATAGCCAGACATGATGTATCAGAGTATAAGGCTGTTATATTTCTGATTCATTTGGGATTCATTTTCACATTGGCAGCAAATAAAAATTAGCAACACAGCTGGCTTGATGACATGTGCACGAAATACCATCTGATGTTGGTGACTTTTATAACACCTCACCCACAGATTCTGTGTCTTGATTGGCAGACAGCGAGTCACATGGTACTTTCTATTTTTGCTATCTTGCAGTGCACAGCCAAAAGTACATGTGTACTATACCCATACCAACCAAAGTACTATACCCGTAGCAACCAAAGTACTATACGCACTGTGTGCAAAATGCATAGAGATGTGCGTTGTGCGTTGCGCGTATCGTTTCCAAGCCAGGTGCTACAGAGCTGGTTTCAAACATTTCATGAAGGGGTAGTGAAGTGCAAGTTAATTTTCAACTAATATCGTATTCAAAAAAGCAAATTTGTATTGTATTCAGATTAAATTAATCAGTTATTGCTTAAAATTAAGCAGAATCTGTGGGAGAGGTGTTATAAAACAAATATTGACTGCTTTATCTCGTGGTGCAGTAAAACTAACCCCCCTCGGTGATCCATGGAGCATTCTATTTGTCCCTCGGCTTCGCCTCGGGACAAATAGAATGCTTCATGGATCACCTCGGGAGGCTAAATTTACTACACCACTCAAGTCCTCACCACTGAAAAGGCCAGACAGACACTGCCAACACTATCCATTGAACACAAAACGTCCCAAACTGGGCAGCTTGAAACAGTTTGTTTTAAGGCATGTTATATACAAAGTAACTCAGTTGTTTGTTTTTGTGCTGGTGCCACAGAGCCAGCCCACAGTCCTGTCTGTACCTATCTCACTGACTGACTGCCTCACCTTGGCCCAAACACCCCTTGGAAAATAGTGGTGTGTGCCCAGCTTTACAAGGCTTGCCTCGTCTGGTTCAGGAAATAAGTGTGGTGGAGCAGTTTGAAATGTCTGGTTTCAAACCGGTATGGGCCCTGGTTGCCAATTATCCGCAACCAGACATCTAAAACTGCTCCACCGCATTAAAAATCCCACTCATATATACCATTTTGGTCAAAAAAAGTCCCCCCTCCCCAAAAGGATGAAAACTTGACAAATATCTGACAATATTTTGTTCAACTAGGCCCAAAAATATCCCAAAGTTCTGCTTCCGATTACATGCCTTTCAAAAATAGGGTAGGTAGGTCAAAATATTTTTGGGGCAATTTGTTTTATGCTGATTGAATGGTGTATTCAATTATATGCGCAGTTTAGCCTGAACTATTTCCATTTGCGCTATGAAAGCTATAAAGAAATCCTAAGCTTCCTAATGCATGGGATAAAAGTGACAGATGGATGAACACATGTAAACACAGGATGAAGATGTGGCTTCTCTATGCAAATACTTGGCGGTGCACTACATCACGAGTGACTTGTATTGTTCATGAATTTGTGATGATGACTAACCTTGGCTCTTCAATGGAGCGCACTTTTTCACAGCCATCAGGTGGGTCTCTGGTTAGCTGATAGGATCTATTGTGACTAGGCGATGATGCATACTTGCCACCATGGAAATCTGGCGATGCTTCTCCTGTGCAAAATACACACACATTAAAAAGCAATGAAGAATGAGGACTGGTGTTTTGCATGTACAGTAAGATTCAACATGTTGCGTGAGATTCCTAAGGGCTACCAAGCATTTCCACACATATGTCCTGTTTAATATACCAGACAACATTATTATGTCACAGCTCAAGACACCTCACACTTTCAATTCAAGTCTCATGCTTTATCTGTTGAGCAATGTTGAGGTTATCACAGGCTGGTTCATTCACAGCATGCAAATGAACACAAACACCAATTTGTGACGTCAAAATAAATACGGTAAACTCCGGCTAAGACGACACTCTTGGGACCAGAGAATTTGTGACGACTTACGCGAATGTCGGCTTCTGCTGCAAGTCGTCATTTTGCCGACTTACACAAATACACAAATTGAATCACGGAGTGAAAAAATAGATTGAATTAAATGGCCTATGCGCATCTGTATCTGGATCATGCAAACAAGATTCATGGCTAAATTTCAAACGCTTTGATTTACCTTGGTTTATTTCTACATCCATGGTTGATTCCACCAAATATATCCTCAATGTTTATCATCACAAACAGGCTGTGGTATTGATCACAGAAAATCATGCATGTACACATGTACATGTACGTACATACGAAGCAAGGACGACGTGGCCAGCTAGCGTTAACAGTGGTACGATATACAGATCGCTTGCATACTGTACGTCCATGTACATGTAGTGTACATTGTGCACATACGTACAGTCACGAATTAAATGTGCGCATGGTACTGGTACAATAAGGGGACCCCCAAAATTAACAGAGCGCATGCGTGCAGTCAAGAGGGGGTACTGGTATTGATGGTACGGAATGGACATGTACTTCGTGTAAGTGAACGATGCACACAATGTACAGACTGTGCATGAAACAGTGTACACGTGCGATTAGTGTGCACGTGCTGGCCGATGCATCAATCACGGGCCGTGCCATTGATAAACAGATGTCAGTTAGCAGTGTGTGGGACTTTTCACTCGACACTTCTTACAAACCGCAGAGCACGATGCCGACTTATACAGAGGAATTTGTGTGGTTTTGAGGAAATGGGACTGAAAGTAACACGCCGACATAGGCGAAATGATGGCTTACAAAGGCCGACTTAGAAATGAAAATGTCAATAGAAATGCATTAGAGACAATCGGGACTTTCGTCAGACAGCTGATTTAAGCGATATGACGGTTTATACGACGTCGGTTTAGCCGGAGTTTACTGTATTCTCACTGTTGAAAACACATTACAACGTGGGTGAATTTCAATGCAAATGTAGACGCATGAAGTTTGCCACACATTCACCATTATCTTACTGCATATCTGACTAGATCTCTGGTAAAGCTGAGATGGGGATTAGCTCTCAAGCTTACCAGTAACCCTCAATTCCTAAATGATCACACTCCTACAGATACCTAGCATTAGATGCAATGCATGAAGACAAGTTGAGAGTACAACTGTATGCATGCAATTTTATATCCAAATTGCTTGTCAAGAGCAACTGTCTAGGTCGTTGTCAATACATGTAGACATAGCTCTAGACACCTGCTTCAGACATGACTTATACCTCAGAGGTAAATGACTTACCCTTTTCCCCTTTGACCTCGCCGTTACCCGTAGAGCTTGACCTACTAGAAGGTCGAGATGGTGAACCATCCATTTGAAATGTTGGTGATACTGAGTGACTGCGACTGCCTGATCCTCTACTACCATTCTCTTCACTGATATTGCCATCATCCTGGTTCTCAGCAGGGGTTTGTGTACCAGTATCAATACTTGCTAGAACAGGAGGGGGTGCACGACGACCATCCAACGTCACTTCCTGAGTTTGTATGATAACGCCTCGCTAGATAATTAACGAATATAACACAGAGAAGCAAATAAATAAAAAAGAAACTTAGCATGAGATATTCAGACAGCGTTTTAGCTAAAACAGTCAAAGTTAAAATGGTTGCTCACCACGGGAGGCCGGTCTTGAAATTAAAACATACCGAGTGTTCAGACACCGTTTTAAATTTAGCTAGTTCAACTCAAAGTGGTTTATCTCAGTTTCTGAGGTCAAGTAGAACTTCCCTCTCCGCCCAAACCACGAGCTTTCAGAGCCCTCATTTCTTCCTGTTTGCACAGTTTGCTGCACGTGGTCTGGAGCCTTTCTCTGTTGACATGGTTGACATGATTGTAGCCCTAGCGGTTAAACACATCGGTCATCACAGTCTTGTTCACGGATACCGCAGGTTGCACTGTACCTTACGGACCGTTGGACGGTTCCCTTCATTACTTTAAATTCCCATTTTTATGCATCGTTTGTCAACCTTAAATATTTTTTTTCCATTCAGATCAGGTACAGCACGTTTGTTTTCATTTGGTGTATATTTTTGATAGGTCTCAAGGTGCAAAAAGTTATTGTTTGAAACCAAAAGAACCGAATTTTGCACGTAAACAACATGCATCAAAGCAATAAGTCAACTGGCATGTACAGTTGTACATGCCTGCAAGTCAGCTGCAAATACACGTGATGTCAACATATTTGTGCTACATTAACCAATCAGTGCCACATATTTCCTGGTATTAGAATGTTAGAATATTATGATAATAACTCTTCAGTTAACGGTTGTCACATTGATCTGCATAGTTCTTAATTGTGTGTGCGAGCACAATGAGAAACTCAGGCCATGTGGTCGAGAAGAGGCGGAGATTAGACTTGGAATTGGATTTGTCATGAATGGGCCATGGTAGGAGCCTTTGGAGATTCACTGGTGTTAGTTGCCACCTTCTAGCCCTGGGCATGCTGTTTGCAGGTCATACCTAATACTTTTAAAGTAACTATACAATTGAATTTTGTACATGGGCCAGCTATGGCAACTTATTGAGGCATATATGAAACAGCACTAATCGTCCCCAACTGCCCTGTCTGTGTAATTAAGTATTGTACCTTATCTGTATCATCTTCTCGGCGTACTCCTTGCAACACTAGTCTCTCAATCTCTTGATTCAAACCTTCCACACTTCCTCGGATCTTAGGAGTAGGTGCCTTCAAGGAATTATTTGGGACTGGGATGGCAGAAGACCGAGGTAAAGGCTGATTGGTTGGTGCTGCTGGACTGCTGGAGGGCGCTGTGTATGTTGCAGCAGTGGAATGATTAGCATGTACAGGTGAAGCACGCTGTGTGTTGGCAGTAGATTGGCGACTACCCTGTTTACGTAGCTGTTGTCGTAGTTTCTGTCATAACAATAATAACCAACAAATACCAATAGGAATGATGATCACATAATGACCACACTGCATCTCACACCTAAATAGTTATCACCTGTCAAGTTGTGGACCATGGACCATTTCGCAATTAGGATTTTGTTGTACTGTGATATTTGTATACATTTTTTTTTAATTTGTAGAAAATGTGTCAATTCCATAATTCACATTTTGAATCATGCAACAATGCAAAATCTCACACAGAGTGCCTCATTGTGATATAACACAGATTCACAGATCAACTAAACAAGAGGATCGTTGCTGACCCGATCTATTTGTAGACACATCTCTCTGTGTTGCCAACCTTTTAACATGGCATTTATATTTGTCAGTGGACTACAGAGATGCATTAGTTGGTCCATCCCAAGGTCCATTCCAATAGTGTTACATCCTTTTCAACGCAAACAGGGAACAATTTTTTTAAAGAATTCCAGCCTAAAGTTAACACACTGTAATGAATGTTTTGTATCGCCCAACAACGCATGATTATTGCAATTACCCCAAAGACTCTTAAGCATACGTGTTACGTATGTCAACAAACGAACGTACAATACATACAATTGATGCAACGTGTTAGCATGGCAATCATGGAGCACTGCATGCTTCATCATCCAAGACTGGCATACCACCGCACTTGGCTTTCATTCTATCACTCACCATTCAATGTGAATGTGAGTCTAGCACGTTGACAACACATAGCACGTAATCAATTTTCTTATAAGCTGATGGGGCGACTATCAAATGACGCGCAACAAATTTTCCTATTGGCTGAATGACAACATGTACCGTAATGTTCGGAATATAAGCCACGCGGCGTGTAAGCCACAGCACGCAGAAATCTGCAAATTAAGATTTGAAGTCTGCGTATAAGCCGCACCGGCGTATAAGCCGCACCGACCACAGCGGTTTCAATTTTGTAAGGCCTCCAAATGCTAGTCAAAATGCTCTGAACCATTTCCATGTACACTAAAAGGGCTACAAAAGTTATAAAATATCAAACCATTTACAATCGATACTCATACAAACAAAATAATGTGGAAATAAATTGATGATGAGAAATAAACACCGGGAATTGCTGCCGGCTGCCCCGTCATGCCCGTCCAGTCCCCGGCCTTAAAAGTTAGTGCATGGCCCGGCAGCCTGCGCCGGCGAATGACAACATTTTCCCGCAGCACGTGAGAGAGTATGCAACCCACCGTGTGTTGTCTGGACTGGAGCGCTACGTACAAATCTTGCTTTGTGGCAACAGATGCTGATTTGTTTTGTCCTAAGAATAAACAGTTTCGCTTTTACCTCAAAACTTATCAATTTTTGTGATTACCAACGAGTAGTAAGGTTGAAGAATTCAAGTTTCGATCATAACTTTCTTCGAAAATAGTCAAACGATGCTGTCATTTTTATGGACGAATCCATTAATTTTGTAAGGGGTGATTTAGTCCCTGTTTTGAGTTTTACATCGTTTCTTGAATACATTTCAAGAAAAAGAATTATATTGTGACATTGAACAAATGATTATCGAATACAGAAATGTTTCGAACACCATAAAAAGTATTAGTCGTCTTTTTTTCTTTTTTTAAACAGCAGAAATATTGGTAATTATTGTTCCCAAGAAAGTACACCCCTTTATTACCACAAATGGTGTGGTCCGCTGGGGGAAATCATGCTGCATGGCAGCACTCGTACTATCATGTACGGCTTGTTGCATAGCGTCGATCGGAGACAGTTTCACCGTACTTTTTACCGCTCGGTATCTTTACGTGGGACGTGGTTTCGGTTTGTTAATGACTTTCTTAATTGATAATTCATTTCAGCAACAGATCTCTTCTTATACCAGTACATTAAATACACATGTGAATCTCATTTTTATTCTTCAAGGCTCGGCGTATAAGGCCAAGTTCGGGCAAGGACCATTAGTCGACTAGTGGTTGATTTGTGACGTACCTTACACCTGCGCACTAGTAGCAACGTGCGAACGTCTCTAGTCAAACGCTGGTCAAAATGTCATCGCAAAACTTCTGGATCCTGGCTCTCTGCTAGCGTTATGAATGCGCGCGGCTATTGGTTACCAGCGAAGCAACCAACCCCAGTAGGCTGGTTCCAAATAGTCGACTAGCGTAGTCAACCATCGTCGACTAGACAGAGTTCGGGCAAACGTTAGTTAACCATTGGTCAACTATAGTCCTTGCGCGAACTTGGCCCCTGCCGCCCTGTGTATAAGCCGCAGTAAACATTTTCATGGGCAAAATCAACGTATAAGTTGCGGCTTATATTCCGAAAATTACGGTAGCTGTTTTTTTCTCCGCACATGCAAAATGAAGATTTATATTTTGGCACGCAAGAGGATGGAATGCCAGAATTTTTCCCCAAAACATGAAAAAGCTGGAATTCTTGTCAATGTCATTGTAGTCAACGATTGTAAAGAGAGTCAAGCATGAAACATGCTCAGTCAGTGCAATGGGACAAAGTTCTGGTCTTATTTCACCTCTTTCAGATTGTCTGCACTTCCCCATGATGACGATCTCTTGTGGGATGAACCTTTTCTGTCTATTTCCTCTGTCTGTAAAAGCAAACAAAAATTAGTCATTACTGAACTTTGTCATCATGATAAATATAGTACATAGAACATGTCCCACATGGGCAACAGGAGCTGCAACTATGTCTATTGTCTGCTTATTTCCATGTACATGTAGCTGTAAGATCAAAGACCTAGACAACAACTCCATACAAGAGATCAGATACAGCCAGAGAGAAAGTATATGCATGTCAGTGGGTAGTCTGTAGATGATTGCTTGTCTTCATCATTGAGATTTGTCATTACATTCAGCATATGTTTCATGTAAGATTTTTCTCGTCAACGACACTTTTGTGGAATCTCTGGATACATTTCTTACAAGCTTTATCATGTTTATGCACAAACTTTGAACTGCCAACATTTCAAGGATAGACACTGCAGTATGCTGCTGATTTTTTAATGCAATAAACAATTTGGCATTTGAAATTTTCATTGACCCTAACCACAGCATTATATGACCAACAAAACAATTGTCTGCCCGTTGTGATTTATCAGACACCTCTTTCTGGTTCTTTATCCTGGTTGGCTGAAACACGGTCACGTGGGGTTCACTAATATAGGCTAGTGCATGAAATTTGAGTCAACTTTAACTACAATATAGATGTGTGCCAAGACATCACGCGCACGTAATTTCCGGAGTATAGTGCCCGATCAGGCACAATACTCAAAAATTTTGGACTGAATATAGCACCCTCCGTTTCAACTTATTGTTGAATTGTTTATTGTTGAATTGCTTATGAAATAAATGAGGCTAAAAGGTTTGCATGGTGGACATGATCAATGAATGGGAGGTTAGCTCTAACACCATGTGAACGATATCTCTTAGTGAGTTATGTGGTTCTCAGAAGAACTCCGAGGGACTTATGAGTTACATGCAATTGTTGAATTAAAACAGTTCAATTGTAAGACCCTACAAAGTTTCTTTTCGTATTTTATATTTTGGACAGAGGTGTGTTATACAACACATATACAACTGGCATAATTCGGTCACTAGTGCACATCTATGCCCCCCTCGGGCCTGTGAGTGACCAGAAGAGTCCTCCCTCGGGGTGCATAGACATGCACTAGTGACCTCATTGCCAATCTATATGTGTATAATAGTCCATGGATGTACAATTGAGGGGGGGGGGTGTGACATTTTGCACCCCCTCAATGGCGCACGATGCCATGGGGCTACATCACAGCAGACATTGTATGATGTGTTATGATATTACACCAGTCTCAATCGCATAACACCTAAATGCAACCAACCAACTGGAAAAATGTACACAGGCATTGGCATGGGTATGTCATTTCTGAAAGCATGCTCCACATCTGATAAAATGGGTGGCTCTACATACACACATGTAGATGTATGAAGAGAATGAACCAACACAACATATCAATCCCTGTCTGCCTACCTGTGTTGACTGGTCTTTCTGATTAGGCTCATGACTGTTGGATAAGGATGAGGTGGTAGAAACAGGACATGTAACTGCCTCAGACCGTGGCCAGTAACCTGACAAGTATGGCACTGCTATTGTATCAAGAGAGTTGGTGCGACGAATAGGACTTGCTCGTACTGCTTTAGGCTTCTCAACTGCAAAAAAAAGAAGAAAAAAGAAGCAGTCCCATAAATGTTAATAGAAACTTTAGATTCTATTGTAAATTGACACAATTAGGTGCAGAAAATATTACATTTTGCACATTACTCATCATGCCCATGGCTAACGTTGCAGACACTGCACGGTACCAGCAGCCAGGTCAAGTTGTTCAGACATGTAAAACAGTGTATGAATAACTCAGTGCCTACCACATAAATGTTAATATGTCAAACATTGCTTGGACCAGGAGCTTCCTGTCTCTGCTTTAGCTAGCCCAGGGTTCCTTACCCCTCACATTGTTTTATGCAGTGCCATTTCCAACAGAAAAATCAAATTGTGTAAGGTCTTTAGGTCAGAACACATAGAGTGCATTCGATTACTCCCCCCAGCTTACTCCCGCCTGGCTCCTCGCGTAATGACAGACATTACATGCGCAGTGGAGCTAAATAAATGAATGGTTTCGGGTAAAGTTTCGTGCAAGAGCTGGAAACATGGGCGTCGCCAGAATTTTTTCTAGAGGGGGGCAAAACATGTTTTCCAAAAAAAATCCTGTTTTTCTCAACATATTCTCGATTTATAGGGACATTTTGCCCCCCCCCCCCATTAAATTTACACCAATATGACTTTCTCGCCTCTTTTCTTTTTATTTTATTTTATTTTTTTCCCCGTCCTTTTTTGCTTTTCCGGGGGGGGGGGGGGGGGGGGGGGGGGGGGGGGGGATGTTGCAACCTGACGCCACTTTTTTCTTCATATAGCATCAAAGGTCATTCATTGCAAAAATGATGATAAGACATGAATCTGGGACTGAGAAATATTTTCAATTTTGTAAGGAAAATTTTTTCTTGACTCTCCATAGACTTTGTACACAATTGCGGAAGTGGCGTCAGGCTGCAACATTTTTCCCAGGCTGCATCCAAATCAATTAACTGTCTAGAGCACGTCCACGCCCAGTGAAAATACGCGGGGACACGCTGACGATAATTCGTAGCCGTAGCTCCGTGCATAGAGCTACATAGGGTTTGTAGCTCTATGCTCCATGGAAGCCTGTTTCGGACACGGCCTGATGAGACGCCCGCCGGACATTGCATGGCCTTATGGGATACTTACCCAAGTAACCGGCTCGGCGAGTCGGTCACTTGGGCCAGGCTTGAGTAAGCGAGAGAAGTCACGTGTCACAAGGGTATTAACAGCAAATGCCTTCTGGTCTAATTCCAGTCAAAAAAGACACTGGAATACTACCCTAAACCCAAACCATTCGGGATTATAGACAACCAGTTACCTCAAGAAAATACAGAGATTTTGTAGTACATTAGGAAAAGGATTAGGAAAAGGACAGAAGCTTTAATGGCAAGGCAAGCTACATCTAAACACTTTTGCTATCTAACAGCAAAGAGTTAAATAAGATCTTCACTCAACAACATTTTTATAACGTACATGTAGGACAAACTGGTGATTCAACTAAACTGTACAGGGTGAGTAAAAAAAAAACCCGAAACCCAAATGTCGGGACTGTTGTTTTAGTGAAGTTCTGCATGTAGCACTTTCAAAATCTAGGATATAAAAGCAAAATTCATAAGCTTTCTTTTAGTACAAGAGTCATTCAAACCACTCATGTATTTTTTAAGCTACGGAATTTTAAACACAACCACTGTTTTAAAGTTCTGTCCACGGATCACAAAAAAGTGTGCATTTTGTGTGAATTGTTTTTGTTTTGCCGAAAGAACACTTACTTTTTTGTGATCCGTGGACAGAACTTTAAAACTGTGGTTGTGTTTAAAGCTCCGTAACTTGAAAATTACATGAGTGATTTGAATGATTCTTGTACTAAAAGAGAAAAATAATATAAATTGGGCTTTCATATCCTAGATTTTGAAATACTACATGTACATGCAGAACTTCACAAAAACAATGGTCCCGACATGTGGGTTTCATTATTTTTGACTCACCCTGTAGTCTGAGAGAAAAACAAGCTTACACTGATCTCACCTCAATTTCAACTGTAATTTTCAATTGTGATTTACATGTGTAAATGTTATTTACTTCAGTTCTATATTCAATATTTAAATTAACTACATTGTCTCTTGATTGTAGTCTAGTTTATTTAATTGCTACTACTCACATGTACATGTGATAAATGCACAGGGATTCTGACATAAAGCTACCTACATGTATAATAATAATAAAACAAAACAACTACATGTAGACCAAAAACTCCTCACTCTCTCTGCGTGATAATAGAATACATGTATATATTAGAAGGAATGGAATTTCAGCGGTTAGTTCTAAATGCAAACACGAGAGTATACAACAGATGTGGCCGCACTGTACATGTATGTACATGTACACATATATGCACCGTTTCATATCAAACCGTGAAGAAAACCATCAGAAGTGCATTTGTGCATGTTTGAGTTGTTTGCACAGAAAAAAATGAAGTGCACATTTACTTACTCTGTGACTTGGTTTTGGGCGTACATGTACATGTAGGCTTCATTTACATGTACACATCTGATTAGCATACACGTACATATGCAGATATGCAAATACATATAGCCAAAAGCACAAAGTTTCTAACCTTCCATTAATGTACAATGTAGGTTTGTACAGGCACATGGATGCGCCCAGCAGGGTACTTTGTCTTTGTAAGTTACATGTAGCTCTGTAGTGTACATTTAATATCTAGCTCAATGGTTTCTGCATACACAGCTCATGCTGTCAGCATACGTGTACAGACAAAATGGCAGTTTCATTCATGTACATGTATGTACATACGTGTGACGCAATATTAACTTTTTGAGCATTGAAGTAATTGCTTTAATTACACAAATTTAATACAATGGGCTTTCCATTTGAGCCAATCTATCAGCTTTTCGTCTATCTCCTGTACATGTACAGTATGAATGTAAGCTGATATATCAGCTGGAACACCAGAAATTAACAGAATGAGAATACAAATAGAGTGTCTAGGCGTGCAGTGATGTACTGTACATTGTAAGTACACCTTCAAGTTCATTGATACATTTGTTTTCTTTCTACTTGACATAACTTGCATGCAATGTAAATGTTTATACCAAATTCATGAGTGAATTTTGTACATATTGCATGTATGGGTGTACATGGTTTATGTACATCTACATGTACATGTACCTGCACTGTTAAGCAAAATTGAAGTAGTACACGTTGATATAATGATGTACGTTAAAGGTAATAAACAACATTTGCTTTAGCTGTAATTTTCAGAATGATGGATGAATTTGGGGGTTAGTATTTTATTGCAAATATTGTTACACTGATCTGTTTAAAGTTTTGTGTTCATAGATGCTGGAAAAAAAACAGAAAAAATGCTGTTCTTGTAGTCTGGTTCCCTGACCCTACTTCAGACAAAACAGAGCAATTTATAGTACTTCTAAGTCAGGGAATTGTCAGATTGGGGAACCAGACTGGCTGGCTTATACTCGTTCACAGATGTGGAACCAACCAATTGCAAAGAAAATGTGGACTTAACATTTGGTAAAGTGGGGACAGTATTTGGAAAAAGTCAGGGTTTTTTTCAACGATGGTCAGCCGACCATCGTCATAGTCAAGTAAGGTATTTCAACTTGGTAGTTTCATTTTTTGATGTTTGCAAATGTTGTAAAATATATACACGTACGGTACATGTACCTTCATAATGTACAAGCTGATTTACTCGATCATACATGTAGATCGGGTAGGGTGTAGTGTTGGGGATGAAAATGTGGGGAGTTAAATGTAAATGGGGGATATAGTTGGGGAGACATGCAGTTATAGAAAAGCAATTTCTGTGGTGTGAATTGAGGCAATTTCTGACCACTAAAACCAATTTCAGCAAAAGATCATCTTTTAAAGTTTTGAGTTTGGAGTAATTGAATCAGCTATACATGTATTCTGAGCAATATAATCATTATTGTAGGCTACAATTTTTATTCGGGGAAGAAAAAGTGTGGGGGGACCAAACAATGTCCCCCGCTTTAAAATGTGGGTGGAGGGGGGGGGGGGGGTCCCCCGTCCCCCGTTGATTTACGCACATGATAATTATTTACCATGGCAACTGTCTGTAAATGTTCCCGTTGGTCTGTTAAATTGGCATTTTGTGAGGCAGTCGCATTTGGAAAACGTAGTGAAAAGGTTACCGTAGTACACAGGCGAAGGCTGATTGTACAGTTTTGACAATAAATCATAATGCAATAAAACGTGAAGGTGTCATTTGAAATGAAAATGTTGAGTGTTTCCGGTCTGAATCATGGAGGAAGGTCATAATGAAGTTTCAGTATTGGACTCTTCAACAAACGTAAACTTGAACTTCTTACAATTTGCGAGACTGTCTGCGAGGAAAAAGTCGATTCAACTTTTATTCAAGTTGGTTCAACCATCTAGGCTATATAAGAGCAAGTTTTACTCGGCCTCCGAGAAAAGTTTGCTCCTGAAAGGATCCGAGACCGCGGTCTTCCGCGACACCAAAATCGCTCCTTGTCCGTGGAAAATGTAGAGAGTGTCTTTCGCCAGATCGGACACTTTTTCGTCGTTTTTTTTGTGACTGCGTTAAAGATCGCGATATTTGAAGAAATGCATCGATCCTTCGTTGATCCCAAACAGGCCCCCGAAATTATAACGCGACACTGAATTATACGTGGCGGGCAGCAAACTCACAAAGCTCAGCCTTGGTGGAAGCATGGAGCTGAATCAACACACGATGGAAGCAACAGAGCACTCTATCACGTCACATGCTTGTGCTTCAAATAGCGAGCACCGTAGACCCAACCTCGTTTCCAGGGCGTGGAGCAGGCTGCAGTACGCGTTGCCATCGACGGTTTTACGCATAGCCCGGAAGTACTACGCAGTGTAGTCTTTCGATTGGTCAGACCGCGCAAGGCATACTAATGTACGGCGTACTAATGTGTAGTCCTTCTGAGTATTCGTTGCACTCGGCGCACGGGCGGCAAGCAAAGCACAGGAAAGAATAGGGACACTTGGTGGC